ACATCACTGCCAGATTTTTTTTAGATCGACAACGCCAAATCAAATATATTCTGTGACTGTCGACTTCAGAAATACATAAAAATTGGCCGTTTAGGTGTTGGCGCCACAGCTGTAAGACCACAACCATCCTTACAAAAGCGACCAATGAGGGCCGTAACACACCCCTCACCCACCGCGCAGCGCTCGAAACAGCCGATAAGGCAGCTGGTCCAGCGCCAAATCGGACGGTGCCACTACGGCTTGTCAGCGTCCCGCCGCCCGGTCATCTCAGCGATCAGCTTGTTGAGTTCGTCACGCGCCTGCTGCACCTCGGCCTCGTGGCTGGCTACCTGGCCGATGACGTCGAACAGCGCCTCCACCTGGCGGCGCACCGCCTCGCTGTTGGCTTGCATCTGGCCGTACCAGGCGGCCTCCAGCCGCTTCACGGCCCGCTCGTGCAGCACCTGTAGCCCGTCTCTGAGCTCCTGCAGCTGCTGCTGGTCACGCATGCGCTTGGCGTTGACGCTCTCGACCAGCGTCTTGGCGCGCTGCTCCAGCTCCGTGGCCGTCAGCAGTGGATCGCCGCTCCAGCCAAGCTCGTCTGAAGACGACCCGGCCGACGCAAAGGAGGCCATCACTGCTGCTGCTGCTGCGGTCCAGGTCCGTTCGGCACTCAGATTCGCTGCCAACCAGCCAACCTGCGTGACAAATAAAACATCTATCATCCTCAAAACTGGGGAGCAAAACGGTCAACGAAGCTTGTCAAGTTGCAAAAACTCTCAGCAATAACGCCAGTGATTGTCAACAATACCTTTCCAGCTTTCATGAGTCGATTGGTGGTTTCGATGGTGATCGGTAACATATTCTAGGAGCATTGTGCGGCGAAGTTCTAACTCCTTACGTGATAGTTCTGCTATTGACAACCTCGCTCGTGGCAGTCCTTTTGCGAGTCAAGCAAACATACATCTTTCTCGGGAGCGTAGAGGGAGCTTCTATTTACCAGCATCTGACAATCACCAAAAATGATTCTTAACCACAAGATCTACAAGTACAGCCAACAGCAGTCTTGTACTTCAGTGAGTTCTCTCGTCCAATTGTCATACACGTTAACGAGCGGCTTGGCTTACATGATGCTTTTAAACGAAGACAGCTACGACGACGCGACACGGAAATGATCTGACAGTATTTCATGATTAACCAATGAGTAATGTGTACTACACCGACGATGGGCGAGGCTACGAGCATAAACCAATCACAAAGAGCGGGATCGCCTCGCGGTCTACGGAGCTATCTGACGCGGCAGCTGGCTGTGTAAGCCGCTGATAATGACATTTAAAAGGAAATATTTGATCACATTACGGATGGTACGCATTATTTCACTTTCCAGCGAAACCAATGGCACGGTCTAAGCTGGCCTATTTCGGAGACGTCTGGGCTTGAAGGGAAGTGATTCTGACAGATGCACCTAACCCGCCCGACCAGGACGGCGCAACGCGCACAGCTGGAATGAGAGTGACGACATCCGGCCGGCCGGCCGGTGTGGCCATGATGTGCTGTACGGCTTAGAGAAAATATTCCACATCTAAAGATATTGAAGCAAGCACCAGATGTGATAAAATAACTCACATCAGTTGCTACACTTTGAAGTGAAGAAGACTGCTCTACACAAGATTTCACCATCAAGTGGATATGCTCAATGCGTCATTGTTTGATTCCGTCATGGAACACGTTGCGTTGCGTTGTGTTGCGCGACTGCGTATGACGTCAAGGTACTGCCAGACTGGCCGTGTTAGAATTGCCATTGTTCCCTGCGGGCTGATTCACTGCTTTTAAGGCAAGTCTTTTAACATGCCTTAAGGCCTATTTTAAAACCTTAAAACCTCGTGTCGTTGGCTTCCTCCATGCCAACCAGCTAACCCGTCTTTATTTCGCATTTTTCACTTAATAAGGGGCCAAACGTACTTCATATTTGATGTATTCCTACCCGGCTGGCCTGGGGGAACGCGCTGCCAGCCGCCCGGTCGCCGCCCGACGCCGTACAGCCCGTTGCCTGAGGCGCCGGTCGACCGACCGCGCCAGGGGTGCCATGGCCACGTCGAGCTATGCTTTTGGCTAGCGAACGGTGATCGAGGACGCGTTGCGTGTGAAAGGGTGACCGAGATACTCTCCCCGTGATACCTTCCCCATTTCTAACGGCGTTTAGCTCAGAAACTGGAGGAGCTAAGTCTTAAGAACGTCGGGATTGTGAACAGCAGCGAAAAGTAATTAACATGGCTAGTTGCAGTTCAAAACCCATATTAATGTGGAACACTCCCTTAAACAAAACGTTTTCAGGAGGAGTTTCATCCAGCGCAACCGATGCGTAACCAGATGGTAGGAGTGAAAATTATCACAAACACTGAACATGATTGATGGATATGACTGACTTATCCCTCTTATACCTCTTGACCTATGGCACAACTACATATTGACCTCCACATTTCACCCTTTGATACGTGTCCCGTCTTTTTCCTGGCACCTGCCCTAACAGCGGAACAGACTGCGCTCGGTTCAACATTTGTGTATTGCTGCGCTAAACGGTGGCTTTTAAGAATCAATGGGCCGGGGCCTTAATGATCGTCTTATTGCATTGAGTAAGAATCAATTCTGAATTGAAAATGAAATGAAATGGCCCAGATCACCGCATATGGGCAAAATTTAGTTGTAACATATATTTCAAGGATTTCGGGAAAAGGGAGTGGGGCCAAGGACGCCAAGGTCAACCAATTTTCAAGGTGGGTGGGCCAGCAATTTAAATGTCCTCACCCAACTTTTTCAGCATCGATCTGTGCTTACCTAACTTCTGTAGTACCCAAACCATGCTTGCCGCTTTACAAAGTCCACAAGCATTTTCTTCAACACCCTAAACGACATTGCTTCAGGTTGTAAATGGCAGCATCATTTGCTACCACGTACCGCAGGCGAATGTAAATGTCTTTGAGTAAAATCCAGAACACTCTAGGTCACAAAGCTACGTTGTCTGTTTTTGGCCTCGAGTTTCCTGGCCGTCCGCTCACGGTGCCTTCAGGAAAGCTTCGTGAAGTTTCCGATGGATACGTCAGCGGCATTTAGTGTAGCCCGGCCTTTCAGGAGTAAGGTTATGCGTATCCTACAATGCTAGTGTTTTATGCAACCTTAGTCAAATTAGCATTGTTACGCCACCTGGCTGAACACGTTAGGCGTTACATGACCTACGCACGAGAACGCGGGCGATTATTAGTCACCAATACCACGGTCTTTTTTCCTGACGGATGCATTCAAAAATATTTCACAATTTAGAAAGGATACGTCAGAGGCACTTGCAATCCAACGTTTCAGACAAAAGTTAGGTGTTTCATAAAGCGCCAACGTTCCAGTCTCATAATTACTTAGATTGTGTTCGGGCTGCTGTACCTACTGTAACGCCACTTTTATCATTTGTTCATCACATCATCATGTTTTCTGTAATTTGCACTGACGTCATTCATACCAGTCAGGCGCTTCCTTTAGGCCTGCAGACCCGCATTATGCGGATTAAAACGATGCAAAATTCGTAGCTCTAGCCCGTAACAGCTAACGACAGCCCTCAGTACAATTTGCCGTCGTCCGTTGACGCAGACTAGGACTTCACTCTCGGGCTACAATAAAAGGAAGAAGTGTAGTGCTGTAATAAAGCGACGGCGTAATTTAGACTTCGAAATGAAATTAAGCCCATTATATCTATCTGCTGTAGGGCACTACCCAGTGCTATTCTTACACGTCACTGGTGCTGAGGTTTCACCAGAGCATCTTTCGCAATCTGCCATAAAGGTGGGACACTGCCTCGAATGGATGCAGGACATGTTGCGCGTTTGCATTTAGTGGCCTCTATCAGTATGGACTGACAGCATATTGCCAGCTCTCTAGTGAGTCCCAGCTGGTTGGAAATCCAACATTCATCTAAACGTATTATGTTTAGAAACATCGCGAGCCACTGAGAAGGAAATATACTCAGCTGGCAATGCGCCGCTCAGGTACAAACAGCGCCAACGTGGGAGCGCTGCGAGGCGCTCGCCGGTGAGCGCTGGCATTACTTAATTTTGAAGTGAAAGATGATGTATCCCGCCGCTTTCTGATGATCGCTGGTGCTGTGTGGTCCCAACCAATGGTTTTATATCTTAATTTTGTGCAGTTTTATACATTGTCCATAAGCGCCAAAATGTTGATCAGGATAATGGAAACACAAGGCTACAAAGATGAAAAATGAAAATTATTAGTCTAAGCGATCACAGTGGTACTCACATTGAAGAACACGGCGTCGGGACCGGCGCCTATCTAAACATATATTTGGGTATTTTTTTGTAACCCCGAGATATTGTCTCAAACATACACAGCTGATATTTTCTGGAAATCTTGACCTTTGACCTGCCATAATGGTGCAAAATTTCGACGTGTCAGCGTAAAACTATTACCAATCGCGGTCTTGTTGAAGCCAAGCAACTGGTGTCTCCCGCTAAAGTAACGTCCTTTTTCACTTGGAGACGGTACGGTGGGGTTTGTCGCATCGCCTAAATCACTCTGTTATGAAAAAGCTACGAATTCGGGCGTGGGTCAACGCATGCCCTGTTTGCGAACAAAATTCATGACGCATTTTTGAAGACAATGACATGAGACGACGTTTTCCTTGAGAATACACTAGGACTTACTGGTACGTTCCGAACACAAATCCACGCACCCTAGCTCGCCAGCCGCCTACCTACAACACGGCATGCATTGAGCGGGGCGCGCAAAGTGAAGGCACGCAACGCGGTTATTTAAACAACAGCTACCACAGTCCTGTAAATCGTAAACAAAGCAAACAACCCTTTTTCGTGACGAACAGCGCAAACAGGGAAGCCGAGTATGTAAACACAGACCACGTGACACGACCTGCATATCACGCATGCGTGAACAGGCGATTGGAGCGTACCAGCTGACGTTGCCTAGCAACCAGCTAGACGCTCGTCGGCTTTAAGGCAGTGCGAGGGCGTATGGAATCGTATTAGCGGTCGGAGCACCTCCGCCGTTGGTTCGCGTGAATAATGGAACTGCGCTGCAATTGAGGAGGATCCTCCACCGTCCTCAAATTCGGTGAGTAGGATCGGGATAATGGTTGCCTTCCTGTGCGATGAACCCACCTGCCACGCAAACCCCCAGGGGATTCGTCCCAGTACGATAAAAACAATTCCGCGTCAGCTGATGATTGGTCTTTCACTACGAAGATATTCAAGCCATAGCCGCGGAACAAAGCAAGACTGCTAAACCAAAAACTGCCGTTTGGCACGAAGATATCTTGCTCTTTTTCATGCCTGCACAAGGAAATAACGACAAGGCTGCTGTCTTTGCGTCCACAAAACAACAAAAATGCTGCTCATTTCTATACTAGTGTGTTATGTTGGCCCAGGTCTTTAAATGAGCTGTCATCGCGACGATAGCCTTACATCTTCCTTCAGGTAACCTATTTATGTATATTTGCGTGACATTTGACACGGGGTTCAAGAAACTTATCAGCTTATCAAGAAAGCCTATCAGCGTTCATGAAGCTCACCCGCAGTTTGATTTTAGAGACGGTGCCTGACGTGCATCTCCAAAGGTTTCGTGAGTGTACTTAAGGTTTCCCACAATGACAGTACGGCTGTAGCCAATGGCCTTGTGTGTATTTTGAATGTGTTGCAGAAGATGCTCCCTAAATCGGTCAAATTCTTTCAAATGGCTAGAGTACGAATTTGCCTTCCGAATGTTTGGTTGCCCATAACTCTCCCGGGTTACCTTAGCTTGTCCAGTTTTCCTTAGTCTATACCATTGTACAGCTGATGCCCCTCTTTCGATTGCACAAGTGCCAGCAATTTAACATAGGTATTACCGACTAATTAGTTTGAGATATTCATGACCTGGTAGATATGTAGGGCGTTGTCATAAATCAGCAATTGGTTGAAAAGGAAATAGGGCCCTTAAAGTGTGAAGTCTTGATTAAACGCTGGTGCTCGAGCGCGCGTTCAAAGCATGTTTTCCGTTATTGGTTTCCGTCTTGTTTTCCGTCATTGCCGTCAACAGTCAAAACACAATCGACTTCGCGTTTTTTTTTTTTTGTTCTACGCCTTAAAGGGACGTCATCACAGGCATGTAGCAACTGTTTAATGTATGTCTTACTCGATTACCCGTGGTAACATCATCATTAGCAGGTCTGTGATCATCGTGGTGTTATGAGGAGTAGGGAAAACGCTCCCAGGTTTTTTGTTATTTTTATATTGCTCCCAGAGGCGTTATCTGAACCACGCATGACTAGCGTTATTTGAATGAATTATTCGGTCAGACAGTGACGTCAACGTCAGCTGCTTGTCGGTTCTTAATGCAGACCTTATTGACCGCGTGCACCACATTCACCGACATTTTTTTGCTTTCGCAAATAATCGTTGGCAGGGAGGTAAATATCAGCGAAACGATCGGCGGGCACAATTCAGACACCTTTACACTCATTCGAAACTTTCGTTCAAAAACTTCCAACATGTTTAGTTACGCGTGTACCAGTATATTGAACCAACTGATGAGGGGGGGGGGAGTTCGCATTCGCAAGGGGAAGGGCGCGTTCGCGAAGTGGTCCCCGCGGAGACCACTTCACGAATGCGCCCCTGGTGATCGTCCGCCTGTTCTGACCACCCCTGTACACTCCTGACGCGCTGTTTCTCGTGTGCTATCCGCAGGAGACTCGGATTGAGTCATGGCGGCCTTAATGTCCGACCCGTTCGGTCACGGAGCACCTGGAGGGAAGTAAGCCGTACTTTTCAATAACGCCTCAATTGTGCAGTCATGTTTGCGGGTTGCACGCGTACGTAGAACGCTGCATGAACGATGTATACAGCTCAGCCTAATCGCTTCTCAGAGCTTATCCTCCACGAATAGCCTGGTTTCTGCTTCTATGCTGTCAACCCAATGCGCGGGAGTTTGCGTTCATTGCAATGGCCACTCAGGACTACGCTCAGCGTTACAAGCTTGGCATTAAAGACGTTATGAGCGCCGCCCGTGTGCAGTGAAATGCCACGCGAATGTTTTGTTTGTTTTGTTAAGGAACGGGATGCATGCCGCCACGTCCCTTTTTTGGACCGCCAGCGATTACACTGGTTGCATCAGCGCCCAGAGGCCAAGGCGCTACCGGGATTCGAAGCCGGGCTCGCCCACGTAAGAGTTCGGTGCGCTAACTAGTCGGTCATTACGCCCCCCCCCCCCCCCCCCTCTCGCGAATTTTGTGACGCATCGTGCCTGCAGGCCCAAATATAATGCTGCCTATTCCCAAGAAGTCGTAACATTTGTTAATTCCGTTGCCGTTTACAGGGTCTCCGCGCTCTTCTCCAAGGACACCAAGTCTATGGAAGCGCTTCATGGTAACATGATCGGAATCCAGTGAGCATTTGCTGGAACTGTGCGTGCTGGGTGGCGAGGCCGCGGCACTGCTGCTGCCTGTGTAGTTCGTGACGCGTCGCCGGTGCACATCTATTCGGTTTACACTCGGCTTCAACACACTTTCAGATTTATATGAAACACTGGTATGGAGCCTACTACATACGATGCAAGTGAAAGGCTATGTTTGTTGCGTCAACTTCAGAGTTTGAATTGGCTCCAGAACCTTTCAAAATGTTTCGCATTGCCATTACAGCGCTGTCACACGTAGCATCCATGCTACGCCATACATATATAGTCGCTCCAGTTTTCGGTGCCAGGCTCCTACTCACTGGGCCAGGCCAATGTGCGCAGGTGGATGGGCGGCCCACTCTCGTCGGCCGCGCAATACATGGACGAGGCGACTGTGGCCGTGTTGTGCGGCTCTCACGTCCGCTTCACGTGCGCCGGCTTCTCGCACTCGGAGGTGTTCTCACCGCCGGCTCGAGGCGTGTCGACGCTAGCCACCAACGGCGAGGACCTGTTCGCCGTGTCGGAGGTGTGCTTGCGTCCGGCCATCATCGTGTTCGAGTACCCGGAGCTTTCCCAGTACAGCAGGCTCGAAGGTGAGCTGTACTAGAGGATGTGCCGCTGCCCGGAGCTCTCCCAGTACAGCAGGCTCGAAGGTGAGCTGTACCAGAACGTGCTCGAGTACCCGGAGCTCTCGCAGTACAATAGGCCCTAAGGTGAACTGTACCATAACGTGTACCAGTACCCGGAGCTCTCCCAGTACAGAAGTCTCGAAGGTGAGCTGTACCAGAAGGTGTACCAGTACCCGGAGCTCGCACAGTACAATAGGCTCTAAGGTGAAGTTAACCAAAACGTGTAGCGGTACCCGGAGCTCTCCCAGTACAGCAAGCTCGAAGTTGAGCTGTACCAGAAGGTGTACCACGACCTGGAGTTCTCACAGTACGGCAGACGCGGAGGCGAACTGTACCAGAAGGTATACCACCACCTAGAGCTCCCACAGAGCAACAGGCTCAAAGGTGAGCTTTACCGAGGGCGTACCAGTTCCAGGAGCTCTCACACTACAACGGGCTCCAAGGTGAGCTGTACCGAAGGTATACCAGTACCAGGAGCTCTCGCAGTGCAACAGGCTCCAAGGTGAGCTGTACTAGAAGGAAGCCACTACATAGAGCTCTTGCAGCGCAACAGGGTCGAATGTGAGCTGTACCAAAGGTGTACCAGTACCAGGAGCTCTCACAGTACAGCAGGCTCGGAGGTGAGCTGCACCAGGTGTACCAGTACCCGGAGCTCTCCCAGTACAGCAAGCTCTAAGGCGAGCTGTACCAGAAGGTGTACCACTACCCGGAGCTCTTACATTACAGCAGGCTCGAAGATGAGCCGATACGAAGCAGTCCGGTGTGCACGATTTAGCTCTACTGCTAGTGGGGTTACATCTACGAATACCTATATTTAACATGATAGTCACGTGCATTCAATGGGTTATGTGGTGTCCACGTGAATGCATGGCAGTTAAAACGTTAAATTTACAGTTAAAACGCGTGCGAGGAAAGTATGTCCCATTATTTACACCCAATACGAAGCAAGGATTGCGCGGAAAAGCATGCAAAGTAGGGCCGCATCACCCGGACGCTCGCATAATGAACAGGGCAGAGCAAGCCAGCGGTCTTAACTTCTATTACTGTGGTTTAGCACTGGGTTAGCTCTGTTTGCGGCGAATAAGATATCAGACATCGTTTTACCTGATGGCTTCCGGAACAGTTATTTTTGTCCTGCACGTCCCAGTTCAGTACGATATGCATAGATGTATTTAACCCCGCTGGTGTTACCATACATGGCTTATAGCTTGCTTTGTAGCTTACCTTGACGACCCCGGTAACCCGTCAGTTTCGTTTAGTTGGTCTCTTTCCTTGCTGACAGGGGGCCATACACTCAGGTCTGAGCCGGTGTCCACCAAGGCGCCCTTCGTGTTGCTTGGTGGGATAATGCCGTTCTATGTTGCGCTGGGGGCAGTGCTGTGGCTCTCTGCTCATGTGCGTATGTACCACCTTGTCCCATGCTCAGACGGTGCCGAGTTGGAGTACCTGTGCGTCGCCTTCTCACCCTCTTCCGAGCGGCTGGCGGCCTTCTCCGGTGTGCCCGACCACACCATCTTCCTGTGGGACGTCAGCTCACAAGTCATGATCGCCAAACTGCCGATGGGGTTCGCCCACTCACCACAGCTTTCATTCTGGTAAGGGTCGCTCAAGGGACGATGAGAACAGGCGTTGCGCTTAAAATGAGTGCTCCGCGTTTGTATGAGACTTCGAACTGAACTGGCCATCCCGAAGGTCATGCGGCGCGGCTCACAGCTTCCCCAGACCCAAATTCCTCCAATTGCGGAGCAACATGCACTCTTCAGGGCTTCCAAGGTGACCTGAGTACCATGACGGGATAATGACACCGCTCAAGTCCTGACACTCAGCTGGACATGCGGCGTACGAAGTAAACAGATGCCTGTCGCGTAACGACGACTCAAGAATAATGGGATAGATGCGTAATGTAATAGTTTGCTTAAAGGTGTTGCGCCTCGCAGCTCATGTCACGTTCTGTGCTACATAATAATCAGAAGTGACACATGCTTCCTAATTATTGCGAAAGTAACACGTGTAATCGAATATATCAAGAATATGGCCATCCGAGCATGTGAATATAAGTAGACATAAAAAATCATGGATGGATATTCAAGAACATCATGAGAAACGGCCAAAACATGGACGCATAACGATATTTAGCTCAGCAAACACCTCCAGGCCACGCTGCCATCTCTCGGGAGAATGAAGAGCTACAAAGTGAGTGTTGTCATGCAAAGGCTCCATGACGCAATCAAGCAATGGCGTGCTGAGGAGCATATTTAGCAAAAAGAGGAATTTTGTTGTCTAGAGCAATGTTTTCGACTTAAATGTATACCAGTAGTTGCAAGTGAGCTAATGCCATCGTATCTGATCCTTATCACAATATCTTCAAACTTGGAACAGTTCGCTTAAAGGGAGTGCTCGACATTTGTATTGAGTTCTTAACTGAGATAGTAGTTTGGAGAATAACAAAGTGTAGTTCATAGCCCTGCCTTCTAAAGGGCAGGGTTATGAGGGCTGCTAGGTTTCTGACCCAGACACCCGCAGATTTGTGCAGACTATGTCGTGTTGACTATTTCAAGGTCGCCCAGGCGTGCACGATACTATAGAAACATCACTCAAATACTGCCACCCCATTGGTTTTGCGGCTTTCAATGACAAGACAAAGATGCTCGTCGAGTTATACGGCTCTGGCGTACGTTATCACAATTTCTGGGACTGGCGGACTTCAATTGGCTCTCAAACATTTTTATGCATTAAGTGCATGTTTCAAACACGGATCGCGGTGTGTTTGCTAGGCTGTATAGGAATTTGGACCGCGGCGCGAGGTATTACGGAAGTACGATTTGTAATCGGCAAACTTAAGAAAAGCAACATAACCGAACATGTGAATGCGAATTAAACATGATAAAATCGCGGACTAATTTGCAAGAAAACCACGAGAAAGGGCTAACACACGCCTATACAGTGAAATTTGAGTTCTGGAAATGCCGCACCCACTACCAGGACCCCTCTCAAGAAGTTGAAATACTTCAAGTGAGTGAGCCCATCCGCTGGGGTGATAATTTCACACGGCCAGTGTGGCAGCCCTCTGGCGTCATACAAATGTTTCATGATGCAATCAAACGATGAGATATTGAAAAGCATGTTTAATAACTAATGGAATCGTCTTTCCTCAATATCTATAACTGTTGGAGGCTCCTTTAGATGACGCCACTGCACTAAATCATGGTGTCTCTTGTCTCAACACGACTGTCACACGCGTTCTGGAATCGTTTCCTGGCTGGAATATGCTATTGTAGTGCATTCATGAGACGATACTTGCACATCGGCATCGTGTGGGTTTTGTTGTATTAATAACGTAGACTAACGATACAGATGGCTTCGGGTCCTCGCTTCCGAAACAGCCCGTTCCGGGTCTCAAGATCCAGGGGTTGTTCGCTGTCCGCCGATAACGGCCTGCACAGCACACTCTCAGCTTAGGCCTTGAGGCTGGCCGCGCTCCGTGTGGGCAGTACCTTTTGAGACAGTCTGTGTCTGCAGCGGCACCGTGCGGCACCAGTGCGGCTGATTGGTAGCCTCTCGCTATATTGATCACGCGGGCGGGCCGGCGGACCAGTGTCGCCCAGATGGCGCGCTGCTGGCCGACCGACGGACGTCCGGTGCAGGCAGCCGGCCGACCGGCGGACATCCGGTGCGCGCTGCCGGCCGACCAGCGTACATCCGATGTACGCTGCCGGCCGACCGACGGGCGTCCGGTGCACGCTGCCGGGCGACCGACGGACATCCGGTGCACGCCGCCGGCCGTCCGGCCGCCCGATGCTGATGTCGGACATTGCCGGCCCCAAGAGCGGCGGCCGGCAGGGGCGCTCGTATTGTGTGACTGATGAGAGCAAAGGTCGAGCGGTCAGCAAATTCCTTTGGCTCCAGCTTAAAACGAAACAATGGTTCAGTTGGAAGTTTGAGCGGTAAGGCATCAGTGCACGGTGACGATTTGTGCATTCGTCGGTGTGATGCAAATCTGTTAGCATAACATGCACGACCGTTGGCTGTGGGATATTGTTGGCTGTCATACAACCGTTGGCTGTCTGAACGAATGCTTGTAAAATATGTTTGTTGGTTTAAGAAAATGTTATAGGGCACAATCTCAAATCACGTTGAATCTCTGTTCATGCGGCGTGCCGTCAGCTGGCAATGGTATTAACGAGCGCGGTAAACAATGGTCCTCCTTTACTTTTGTATTTCATGCATGCTCTCATGATAGCTTGCATTGGTGGCGTTGAGTTCATATCATTTGCTAAATCGCTGGTTGCCTTTGCGCGGAATCTGTCATCCAAGTTGGATCGATCCAGATTATCGGATATTCTTTTTTGACCAGCCCTTCACGACACGGGGCCGAGTTGACCCCCTGATCAGTTGGCAACAAAGCCTTATGTGTCGGTCGGGCCGAAGGTTCGCCCGCCCTCAGAGACGTTACATGCGCTGCTGGGTGACAGGCTCAGCGCCTAGTTTCCAGGAAACAACTGAGACGGTTTGACTTTTTTCGATGCTGTGCGCTGCGGTCACTCTACACGGACTGCATGAAACAACCACGCTCTGCAAAAGCAACTGTTGTTTGTACAACGGTATGTTTTATCTGCAGCAGGTGTTGTGGCCAGACGCGCGCTGTCTCCTATGCGGTATTGCATTGTATTGAAGGACGGCCTTGTTTCTCACTGTATCAATGCACGGAACGCTGAATCCTGCAAGGTTCTAGCTTCGGAGCCTGCCCTCTGCGTAGTCCTCCTAGCTTCGAAGCCTGCCCCCTGCGTGGTCCTCCTAGCTTCGGAACTTGCCCTCTGCGGGACCCTCCTTACTTTGGAACCTGCCTCCGCGTGGTCCTCCTAGCTTTGGAGCCTGTCCTGTGCGCGACCCTCCTAGCTTCGAAACTGACCTCTGCGTGGCCCTCCTAACCTCGGAGCCTGTCCCCTGCGTGGTACTAGCTCTGAAGCTTGCCCTCCGCGTGGCCCTCGTGACTTCGGGGCCTGCCTTCTTTGTGACCCTCCTGACTGTAGGGTTTGCCCTCTGCGTGGCCCTCCTCGCGTTGGGACCGCATTCGAATGTTCCAGGACCTCGTCACAACCATAACATTCACCGACGATCATATGTTAAGAAACAGACAGCTGCCGTGCAACTCAAGGACAGTCTTTATGTGTGCTCATTTCGTATTCCTGCCACGAAGATGCTGATATGTGGGGACCAGGACACAGCGGCAGGGGATCTGATGGCGTGCGTCGATGCCTGGTGCATGACCAATGCTTCCCAGCTCTGCGGCTGGGCCTGTCAGCCGGCGTGTGACTCTGCCAGCGGGTCAGGGTGACGCGGCGCTGGCCGGCTGACAGTGACCTGGACACGCCCCACCTGGCGCTCACCTCGGAGGCGGGCGTGACCGTCATCCAGATGGAGCACTTCGGCGCCGAGTGGCGACTGACGCCGCGCACCGCCCACCTGGACCGCGTCAGGTCACACTGCTGGTCCGTCGACGGCGACCTGTTCTGCTCACGGCGCGAGACGGTGCACCAGGTCAGTGGCGGCACACAGGCGTGGTCAGCCACGCGGCAGGTGTGGTGCCGTCCGCCGCGCGCCGGACGGCTACGGCGGTACGGGACGGACACATACGGCAGCACGAGACGGACGGACGGATAAGGCGGCACGAGACGGACGGACGGATACGGCGGTACGGGACGGACGAATACGGCGGCACGAGACGGACGGACGGATACGGTGGCACGAGACGAACGGATGGATGCGACGTCACGGCACGGACAGATACGGTGTTGCGGGATGGACGAATACGGCAGTACGGAACGGACGGAAGCGTTGTTGCGGGATAGATGGACGCGGTGGGGTTAGCTTATGGCTACTTTTTTCATTTTTCGCCGGTAATGTCGTCCGTTTGTTCCTTCCGTTTCTTTGGTTTGGGGACCGTTGGGATGCTGTGCTTATAGCGATATAAATAAGGCCATGGGTGTAACTTTGCTGTAAATTGAGGGTGCGGCTGCATTTCCGGCGTTTCCCCCCTCCCCCCCCCAAAAAAAAATACAATAGCGCCGGTTCTATGACGTTTCCAAGCAAGAATGAACCCCAAAGAGCGATTTGCACTCCCGACACTCACCAGATACTACTTCTGAACAAGGTGTTAGGTGATCAATTTCCACGCTGCTTTTGCATCTACTGAAATTTCTGGCTTGTGATGCCATGTGTTATGTTGAGACACTCTGCCCCATTTTGTTAGGTGATACGAGCCAACTTTGGGAACGTTGCCTCCGAACATCTTGACTAGTTAATACCTTGCTGCAATTTCGGATGTTTCCAATGCAAGAAACTTTGTCAGTACTCAAACGCGTTACTTTCGGTGCAACAGCTGACACGGTGCTCAGCCGGGCCAATAAGCCGTGCGATAAATCATCACTCCCAGATGCCGAGGGCCGCCGCCGCCTGCTAAATAGCGAAGGATGTTATAACGTAGAACCATGCGACTTTGCTCAAGAAGACGTCCGCCGCTTTTCGCTGACTGCCGAGTATAAATCACCTCAGTCGCGACTCGCAGCAGACGTTTCTGATGACGACCATTTGTTATATGAGAAACAAGGTCAAACGCGCGGCGGATATGCTTGAGTAGACGTCTGCCGCTTTTCGCTGAGTCTCGGGTATAAATCACGTCCGCCGCGTCAGTGGCGTCAGTCATGCCGTGCTGTCCGCCTGTGGCTAGGCGGTAACACGCCACCATGGCGGTGGGGAGTTCCATGCCCTCCTGGAGCTCTTTCTATGGCATGCGCGCATGATTTTCAAAATCATCGTTAACGTCAGCATGCGGATTGTAGCATGTCAGCTGATGCTAGAAGGCGTAGCAGCCTGTGCAGTGGTGACAGCTTGTGTGCGGAAGTGGCTATAGACCCATCGCTGTTTCTTCTGGACGGTATGCTGCAGGATTTGATCATTCTGGCGTGAAATCTTTGTATTCACTCCTCAACATTTCTTATAGTAGACGCTAAGATGAGCAATTTAATTATTATAAGGCGTGGTGCTCCAAAGTATGTTGTATGCCACAGACGCTTATCGCGCGCGGTTTTGGGCCTCGGGCCAGTGTGTGTGATTGATTTCTATCGGACAGAGCATTGCGCCAGGCTCGGTGGTTTACGGATCTAGCTGGGGCAATCCCTGACCCGGTATATTACCAGCAATCGGCTGCAACGTCAGGATTATGGGCTGGAGGCAGCTGATTTGGTGCTCATAAACCATGATTATGGCGCGGATATCAAAAGCTTTGTAGAATGTGTAGAGCCGCAGCCAATTGTAGAGCTTGTTCTGTTGATATACGATTTAAGAGTGTCACGTTCGTCTTCTGCCAACTGACCGATGGCCAGTCTGTTTTAATTGGTGGCATTCGATCGCAACTAATTTGAGGGCAGTGCTCTACTTTGTCATTTATCATCAATCTTGCCAGTATATTTACGTGTCTCAGTCCCTTTCTTCACGATGTAGTGGTGTAGGCATCAGTAAATGACAACCTTGTGCCGAATTTTGTCTGATGTGACGGGATGATAACACTCACAGCATATAAAGTAAGCAGTTATAACGTCAAAAACCGGGTACAGCAACCGTAGAGAAATCAATGTTTTGTAGAAAGAAAAAACAATGCGAGAAAACGATGGGCCACGTTCTTAGGGTTCCACATGTGAGCTGTGTTATAATTGCAAGCTCAGCACACTCTGGCACGATTGCTGCGCTTTGGCAGAGGCAGAGCTTCAATTCATTTGCGTCCGCGTCCACAAGCCTCGCTTTCTCGTCTGAAGCCGTGGCGCTCTACCGGTGCCGTTATCGAGAGCCCTTAGAACAGCGTCCATGCCACCAGCATCCGGTTTGGACAATGCGTCAGCTCTCGTCTGGACCTCTGGCCGACTTACAGGTGAATATTGACACCATGGAGGCCTCGGAGCTCACTGTGAATGAATGGATCGCCGGGACCATCGTCAGCATCGTACTGAACGACAGCGGCATCTTCGCCGCTATGGACGACGGACGGATACTGGTCGGTGGCGAGGAAACTAACGAGCTACATGCGGATGCGTGCGTAATGTGTTTTTGGTGACGGCTGAAACTGGAAAACTTGTGGTACGAGTTGTCTGTATTAAAACTAGTTGCAATAGACTCACGACGTGCAGAAAACATGACCAAGACGTCTGCTAATTTGTGGTCAAATCCGAGCGTTTTTCTGCAACACTATAGGTAGTCATGTGTTTCGCTGGTGGATAGGATTGGTCACTGTTGTGGCAGCATGTTCCCATCGCATCTGGTCATTTGCTGTGACAAGAGCGAACTTTCCGAGTGAGCTGCATGTTATCGCGCCTGAGTGGGATGGCAGTGTCCCGGAGCGGTCCAGTTCTAGCCCCAATTTGCGAGAGCGCTGTGCGGCGGGAGCAGCGATTACGGCTGGGATGAGGCGCCCCCAGCTGCTGCCAACTGCTGGAGCCGGACGGCGACGGCTGGACGGTGCAGTTGGGGATGACGCGGCCCCGGCTGCTGCCAGCTGCTGGAGCCGGACGGCGACGGCTGGACGGTGCGGGTGGGGGTGACGTGTCCTCGACTGCTGCCAGCTGCTGGAGCCGGACGGCGACAACTGGACGGTGCGGGTGGTGGCCGAACTGGAGCTCTCCGTGCTGACGATGCGGCCATCCCCCAGCTACAACTTCCTGGCGATCACGTGCAAAACGGTAAGAGCCACCGCGCTGCACGGGGACCGAGGCAGGGCTGTCGACGGGCCCCGAGAGCGTGGTGTACTGGTGCGCCCTTAGTCAGGGCTGTCAGCAGCGTCGTACGTGTTGTAAAGCTCCTGTCATTTCATTCATGCTGATAATCTGACATTTGAAGCGGCCAACTGAGCGGCCGGTTGGACGCTCGTGCCGCCTGCGATGCTCACTGTTTTAACCACCGTTAGCGTTCCGTCCTGTGATGCTCGTTGGTAACACGTGAAGTAAGAGTTCAGGAAGTCGACTGTCATATGTTGTGAGACGTATTATGCTCCAAAGCTGGTTGCTCTTAGATGGGTGCGGTCAGCTGTTAAAGCGTTGAATGGTTTCAGCGCTTGATCGCTTTTGATGCAAGTCATGACGCTCCAAGAATACACACTTATCTTCGCCTGGCTTGGTTTCGCCCAGCTTCTCGCGACAGAAAGCGACACACGATCCTTGGAGGAGAGCCTCGAGTGCTCCTGCTCCAGGTCAAAGTGCATCATGAATTGAAGTTTGCTCTGATCACTATGACTTCATCTCCTCTTGAAGCCCATGCACAAGGAGATCGCTGATCCAGAAGACGAGCCGAAACACTTAGAGGCCGCCGCCTCTGTCACCAGCGGCGAAGTGAAGGAACTGTCGTCGAAGCCACTAATGATGACACGGGCCTACTCCGAGTCCGTGTCCTGTTTTGTCGGCTGTGGCGTCCAAGCTGGCTCCGACGGCTCGACCCGAGTCCTCCCAGTCTCTTAGCCGATGCGAGACAGCATCGGCCATCGCTGCACCAATGCTGGTGGCGAACTTCGGAACGCCTTCAACCCCTGGTGACACCTACCGGACACGTGGCAATGACTCGGGTTCGATCCGCCGACTCCTTACCACCGTTGTGCAGCAGCTTGCCGTCCCGGTGGACGGCAAATTGTTGACCGACGCTGGGGGAGGGGAGGGGAGGAGGAGAAGAGGTGGGAGGAGCGGATAAATAATGTCCGATCTACCCCGCAATGGCTTTCTTCTGCCATCTGTGCGACCGCGTGGTCGGGCTGCCCTGAATAGCCAGATTAGAGCAGCTTTGACCGGAAGCTGAGGCTGTCGCCAATAGCAGGTGGATCACGACGTGTTTATTGACATTTGTCTGAACGAAGGTTACTGCCACTCCAGGAGAGACGATGTTTTTGGTTTTTCTGTCTGTCCGCGCCGCCTCGTTAGTTAGTTTTTTGGTTGTTCAGGAGACACAAATGCAATGGCTATTTCGCTTCGAAGGAGAGGCATGACGAGGGTTATGGGTCGTCCTTATGTAAGTTGTGTACTGTTGGTAGACGATTATTCTAGTTGGGCAGCTACCTCCTGCCCGGCTTGCTCTGCTGTCCGATAGCGAGCCTTGTCGGCATCCTCCAGCTGTCGTCTTTGGAAAGCTCGCCCCTCCTGTAGCTATCGTCTTTGGAAAGCCCGCCCCTCCTGTAGCTGTCGTCTTTGGAAAGTCCGCCCCTCCTGTAGCTGCCGTCTTTGGAAAGCCCGCCCCTCCTGTAGCTGTCGTCTTTGGAAAGCCCGCCCCTCCTGTAGCTATTGTCTTTGGAAAGCCCGCCCCTCCTGTAGCTGTCGTCTTTGGAAAGCCCGCCCCTCGTGCAGCTGTTGTCTTTGGATAGCTGGCCTTTCCTGCAGCTGTTGTCTGGGTAGCCCGCGCCTCGTTTCCGGCAACGGCTTATGATGAAGCCTAACAGGCTGGCTCACATTGGACTAGGAGGAAGTCTTTGATGCCTTGGGTTTTGATGGCCCTCACGGCGTCGATATGACCACTGTCAAGGAGTTACTGCAGAGCGCTCCTAACCCGTTATCCTTCTCCATTCGCGGGTGAACCTCCTGTATGCCTGTGATAACAGCTCGTTAGTAGGTAAGCTTCCATCGAGCTTCGGTATCACGCTCCGCTCCGAAGCAGCGGGAATGCGGACCTTGCTCCACAATCTGCACCCCATCACCTGGTGAATGGTGAATGTTTCGGACTCCTTCTGGGCACGGTTTTGCACGGTGAAGCTGGACGTGCCACTACGTCGCTTCAGACAGATCTTCATCAACTAAATGACAATCAACCAAATCTGGGCTTTCTGTCTCTTGACGCCCACCATAGTGTCACAGACTTTCGCTACAGCAGGTGCTTTTCGCAATGAACCAAGTCTCCGCGGTCGGTCCTCAGATATTCGTCCGTCTAAGAATGCGCGAGAGGCTAGCAGACCGGCACTTCCATGTCGCGCGCGCGGTACGCAGCGGCCGGGCAAGAAGCGCGTGGTGACGATGCTCCCATCCCCCTCACCCCTACCTTCTTGCGCGTTCTGTGTGTCGTCGGGCTTGATCAGGCACTCATCTGCTGAGGCGATATAGTGTCGCCTGTCTCTCAACCTGACAGGAAGGGCGAGAAACCGAACCCCGCGTCTGTGCCTGCCAGACGTGCAGTGTTTGCTATTGCCTTCAACTGGGATAGGCTGTGGTGGGTGGCAGCGATCTCGCTAACGATCAGATGACGTCAGAGGGCAGGTGGACCGTGCCGGCCGTTGCCGCGGACAGCATGCTTTCTCAACTGGGGACAAAAGTGAACGCTTAAGTGTTCAAACCCACCCCGCCACGGGTGGGTGAACCAGAAAATGTGCCGTGTCTAAATGAAACTACCCTTTACACAGTGTGGCCAAAATAAAAGTATGCCACGCTTTACTAAGCAGTGGCAAGCGCATTTCTCGAGAACCGAGAATAGTGGCATTCGAAAAGCCATCTTAAAAAAGCACCCGAAAAATCAGATGCCGCTTCAATCAATTTTCAATGCCATTTGCACTGGTTTTATGATAAATGGTTGGATATACTGTACAGTTTATATACAATTGATACACAATTGCGCTGCGCTAACAACCTAACCGAAAATACGCACAAATCGACTTGTGTAGCATAAAAAAACCAGTAGTACGTTCGAGGCTTCATAAAATCCCCTGAGCGCGACCCTTTTTCATGTGCAGCAACATGGTTGCTCCACCTCCTTTATCATATGTACACATATGTACATGAATTCCAAGTACGCATGCTCAAAGCATCTGAGTGGTGCTGATGACGTACTGACACGGTTCAAAGTACGGTGAGACACCAAATGGCACTGCACTGTTGCTTGAGACTGTAGGGCCCGAAAGCTCCCGAGCGCAGTTACGGAACGGCGGGACGGTGCAGTATGTAACCTGTCCATCATAGCGATATTGTCAGTCAGTGGGACGACAGTCGTGAGCCTAGGGTAAGTGATACGGACTCCATGACAATACAGTTGTTATTAGCGCCCGGCCCGTCTATGATGGCTGCGGCTCGCCTGGGCTGACGCCGATGCTGACAGGGGGTCCGCGCATTCGTGCGCAGGGCGAGGTGCGGCTGCTGTACACGCCGTCACACGACTTCAAGCCGCTGGAAGGGTACGAGGGGGCGGGCTCTCCCGCCGTCGACGTCTGCCTCGTGGCGCCCCAGTTCGACTACGTAGCCTCCATCCACGAGCCACACGGACTGCACGTGTGGAGAGCGCCCCGCGGCCACCATGTGAGTAGCGCCGCTGCCGTGCCAGGACGCGGGACGCAGCGCTGTAGATGTAGCGTCCATGTAGCGCCACGCGGCACTGTGCTGTAGACGTAGCTTCAATGCAGCGCCGCGCGACGCAGCGCTATGGATGTAGCGTCAATGCAGCGCCACGCCGCGCAGTGCGTTCATGCTGTTCATATTTTGACTGAACAGCTGACCTTACGACTTTGATTTGGTGACAGCAATACAACGTTGACAGCAGCGTAGGGGTATGGTGATAGTCGGGGGGCTGGGCAGGTCGTCTGGTAAGGGTGGGGATTGGCCCGTCGTGGCCCATGTCGTCGGCGTCCGTCCGCTTCGCCTGTCTGGTTTGATCAGTTGGCTGCCGCCTCCGCTGCCATTGGCACAGCTCCGTGCCGGGGTGCACGCGGTCGAGTGGCGTGTGCTGCGGCAGCTGTCTGCGCTGTCTGTGGCGTGTCTGTCGAGTGGCGTGTGCTGCGGCAGCTGTCTGCGCTGCGAGCAGCCCCGCCCCTCCGGCCGGCGCCGCCGCCGCCGCCGCCGCCGCCGCCTTCAGCCGGCTGACACCCGATCGTCCGTCGGCGCTTATCTCGGCGTTCGTCGGCTTTGTTCGGCGCGCTGATGCCGCACGCAGAGGCCGACTAAAACTCCGCGGGCGATCGTCGCCGCCGCCGACTGAGCCACGACTCAGGCCGGGACTGTGCGACGTGATACTGCGTGGGGAGGCGGCGGGGCGGAGCACAGCACGAACGCGCCGAGCGACGCTCCCCGGTGAATGATGAGCATCACCGCCGTCCCGACAGCGGCGGACGGAGCGGCCGCCGAACCGCACTCGGAATGTGACCCGCACCCATTACTGCCCTGGGCCTCGGACGAGGAGTGAATGGTCTGCCTCAGTGAGCCCCGAGGGCAAGGAAGAAATATTGTACCATGTTATCGAGACGCGACGTCCTGGATCAGGTCCCGAGGGGGAGCTCGCCGCGGTTCGGCCGCAGAACACGGGACGTGCCGTGGAGTAGAAAGCTTGTCATTACGTTAAGCTTTAATAGCGTTATTCCCAGTCCAGCGCTGACCGCCTGACCTGCATCGCTGACCGCCGTGCGCGAGTGCCACGTCGGCGCCGCCCACTGACGGCCGGCTCTCTGCTGACAGGAGTCCTCAGTGGAGCTGGTGGGCCGGCTCACCTGCGTGGCCAGCTGCATAGACGTACCGTGCGTGCTGGTGGGCAACGAGGACAGCTGCCTGGTGGCCGTGGACCTGGTGCTGCCGCTGAACCCGCGCATCGTCTGGACGGCCCGCGTCTGTGAGGTGCGCGGCCACGGCCGGCCCCCCTCGACGGTGCAGCCGGGACACACACGGCTCTGGTGCCAAGCATGCATCATGCAACACAACGCTGCAGTTGGGGTTATACGCTTTAGCATCTTTCCGTACGTTGTGAAGAAACGTTTGGCACCAGCCACATGACGTCGCCAGGTGGACATCGAATCCAAATGCGCTTTGGGTCTCCCCGACACTCGTTGAGTCGCCGTTTTCGTACCTGAAACACAGTGGGGTCGGACACTTCTTGGCACTGACAGGCCATAAGTGACACGTCTGGGGCGGGGGTGATTTACCTCTGGCTAAAGGCCAGGCTAACAGCTACGTTGGCCTGTCTGTCGGCGCCGGAACGTCAGAGCTGGTCGCGGTCGCGCCTCTGGTTGCGCCTCCGAGCGCATGTCGCAGACAGACCTGGTCGCGCGGCGCGAGAAGGCCGCTGGTGGTCACAAGCGACCGCGCTCGCCGACATGGCCGCTCTTCAATTGACACAGTCCCCAATGCCTTCCTAACGACCCTGTTTAGAGCTTACTAAAAGCTGCCTCGTTTTCGACCGCTGACGTGTGGCCCACCGTTGCTGACAAATGCGGCTGTGTTTCCCCGCCATCGTCAGGAATCCATCAGCTCGTCACGGATGGGTGTCACGAGCGACGCTGTTCTTATAGGCGGGGCAGATGAGACGCCAGGGTTTTCCCCAGCGTCGCATCGATTCCACAGCCAAACGGGCGTCAGACGCCGACATGGGCCCAGCCGCACCGCAGACAGGCGCCACGCACGCGCCTGCGCTCCTGACCGACGCGTCGTCGAGCTGAGCTGGCGCGCCGACGGGCCGTCTGCGGCTGGCGGCTCGTTACCGGGGCCGCGTGCACGAGCGATGACAGGCGGCCGCGGTCCTCCGTCTCGGGCCTGCCCGCCCCGTGGCCGGCCGGCGATCGATCTCGGGCCGTGTCGGTGCCGGCCGGCCACAAGTGGACACTTGATCTGCGCGCGGCTGCGCCGGCGGAGCCCGCACGGCAACTGGCGTGCTCTCTCGCTGGATGGGTGTGGGTCGCCCTTCGCTGGCTCGCTGGCTCGCCCCGTGAGGTGGTTTGCCGTCACCCGGTCTGAAGGGTGAGCTGGTCTGCTCGTGGAGATTCTCGTCATGACCGTTGGAGATGGACAACGGGGGCCGGGACCGCTCGTGCGGTGCGATTAAGGACATCTTGGATGGAGGAAAGAACTGCGTGATGATCAGTGCCAAAAACGCTGGACGAAGGACGTTGATTTGCATGGAAAACCTGTATTTTAGATCGGACACCGTGCGCTACCACGACGAAGGTCGTTGGAGCGTAGTCCAACTTTGGAGGTGTCATCGGGAATGTTTGCTCGTAGTTACGACGGAGTCAGCCTGCTTAAACGGATCTCCCCGATCACCTCTGCTGTTACGACACTCTCGGCCCATCGCGGATCACAGCTACTGCTGCGACGCGCCCGGCCCATCGCAGCTCACAGCTGCTGCTGTGACGCACTTGGCCCATCGCAGCTCACGACTACTGCTGTGACGCACTCTGTCCATCGCAGCTCACGGGCGGCCCTGCCACCTATCTCGCAGCTCTCGGGTCGCCTCGTCACCTACTGTGCGATATAGCTGGCTTCGTCAGTAAAAACGCAATGTGCTGCTGCCTGCTGAGCGGTCCATCGCTTTTCACGTTCAGTCAGGGCAGGGCCGGGACTGACCCGTTTTGAGACGGTACACTGCAGAAGTCGCCCGCTAGTTGTGCCTTTCTTCACATGTCCTCCCATGATGTGGTGCTTACTGATCAGCTATGGTATCGTCAAATGTTGAATGCCTTTTGCTGTGACCATTGAATTATGTTCAGCGGTTAACACGCGCCCGGATGGCCAGCTGAATGCCGCTTGCTCGGGTGGGGGTCAATTTGACCCCCCCCTGAAATCTCAGAAACTAAGAGAGCTCGATGCATCAAATTCACAGGGCGTGTTGCCCTCTACATGAGCTCACTGTTGTCAACTTTTGAGGTTCTTAGGCCGTGATATTCTGGTCAAGTAAAGTCAAACAAGGTCACATCCAGAATTGGTGTCCGAAATGCTTTCAGACCTTCTCGTGCAACCACCCTGAACCTAGACACCTGTACAACACAAAATGTCGCTGCTGCTCATTTAAGCACATTGACCTCGTGTAACCTTTCGAAGGTCATAGTGACCAAAAGCAGACGAGACTGCCTTGATTTTTGCCTTTGAGTAAGCGTCAATAATAACGCCATGCAGTACGTTCCTAAAAACAAGATGTTGACTTGGCTGATTTTAGGTCAGTAACCTATTCTGACCTTTAACCCTTCGATGGAGGATGTATAGTGTGTTTCCCATTACGAATAAATTCAAAATGAGGACCAGAATTTATCGCATACAGCAACCCCTAGAATAATAAAAAGTCCGGTTTTGACCTTGGTCTGACCTCCATACCCGAGGAGTGACTCAGTCATTGGGATGCCTTTCACACCACTGACCCTGGGTCAGTTGAGCTTGTCAGTTCAATTATTGTGTTGCTTAGGAAACTATAACAAAGATGAGCGGTTTCGTCCAACACTTGCACGCCGAACACTAGCCCCGTTGTTGCATCAGATTGAACGATTCTCCGAAAAAAAAATAGTGGTATTCGCTGAATCCATGGCCTGACTTTGACCTGCTATAGGTCAGCAACCTTACAAGGTACATCTAATTGTTTTATGCCAAGCGCTTTGCTTTTCAATTGTCTTCAACCATGCAAAATTTGGAGCGGCTACGCCGCACCGTTGTGAAATCACCGCAAAGAAACCTTTGGGGGTCATATTGACCCTGACTCAAGCGCGTGTTAACATTGTTAATTATCCTCATAAGCTTGATGAGCTTCAAAACTCAGTACTTTAAAATCGTTTGTCAAGCACAAAACATGCGACATTTTTGACGTCGCACAAAGTTTCATACGACTTATCATCTAGTTCTTCTGAGCCCGCCGTTCGGTTTCTGGTGGCCGCAGTCGCCAGACGGCTGCGGCAGCGCGACAGCGGTGTCGGCGTGCGCTAGCTGTGTGACGGTGTCCCGGTGCAGCCGTGTCGGCAGTAGCCAGTGCCGTGACGTCGGTGCGCGGCCGTTCGGACAGGCGGCCGTGACCAGCATCACCGTGAGCCCGAGCGGCCGCGTGGCCGTGGTGCTCACCGCAGACGGCGGCGCCTACCTGCTGTCGGCGCAGCCGTCGGCCGGGTTCAGCGTGCGCGCCCAGCTCCAGACGGACGGCACGCCCACCGCCGTCGACACCTTCCAGCGGATGAGCGAAAATGGACCCGAGGACATGCTGGCCCTGCTGGTCACCTCAGCCGCAGGTCAGTCGCACGCGGCAGCTGCCCCTGCAGCGACTCGAGACGGGCGCCGAGGACGGGGCGCTGGTGCTGGAAGGCGCCTGGGTTCTTGCCTTGGTGTTGTACCTCGGGAGCGGAGGGATCGCGCGATCGTCGCTGTGTCTATTCATTATTGTGGGGAGACTAGGGAGGTTCCTGGACAAACGGTCCGAACGGAAAAGTCAAGAGTCAAGAGAAAGGAGTCTGAGCGCATAAAGCCCAAGGGACTGGAGTCGAACCTGAAAAAGTCGATGGACAAGAATCAAGATCTGAAAGTGGAAGCAATAAAAGAGGATCGGAGAAAGTCGAACGGAATAAGTCGGCGGGGATAAACACTGGAAATCACCTAAGATGACAAAAAGCGGCCAAGAATGAAACTCGAATCGGAAGGAAATCCTAAAGGGATCAAAGCGATCAGGGACAAAAGCCAGCTTGGTAAAATAATTTAAACGCACAATAATTGGATCTTTTAACTTTGATTTTGATTTCGGTAGGATCAAACAAACAAGTAGTCTAGAGAAACCAAGATAGGAGAGTTTTAAGAATTCCAGGGAGATGAGAGTTTTAAGGATTCCAGGCCTAACATTAATGAGCGTTTTGCCGATTGTACTCGGATGCCTCCATGGATTCGGTAGGTTTGGCTACCTCGCATCCCTGGAACCTGTAATTTGCGCTCGCCCTCGCTCAGCTGGCGAACGCTCCTGGCAGGAAGCCAGCCTTGGAACCTTCACCACCGAACCATGAACGATGCTCCGTAAGGCCGTCAGGTGGCCGAAGCTGTACGGGTACCCAGCTATCCTCTGCCTATGCCCATGAAATTCACTCCAGCCATTTCCTGGGACGTTTGCGAGCAACGCGAGCGCCCACGGCATGAGACGGCGCATGGTGGCGGCGCCCGTCGTAGACCCCGTTAGTCCTGGTGCCTGACAGACACGCGTCTGGTTCCCAATGTTGATTTTGGGTTTCTGCCTCCCGTCCAGAAAACGAGATTTTGGATCAGTGGTTCAGGCAGAGTCTTTCATATACCCCAACCTCCGGTTCCCGGATCCTACCGGCTGTTTTGCAGTCGCCGCACCCTGGTTCCTGGTCTCCACTGGCTCTTTCGCAACTAAAAATGTGGTTTCGGGGTTCCCACTACTTCTGTTACACTACCGGGCCCTGATATATAGTTATTGGTGATGTTTTGTTTTTTACGGACGTCCCCCGGTTAAGATATTTTCCAGCAGTTTTGGTGGTTTGGATTAGAGCCCTTTCCACCAGAAATGATCATTGCATGGCTAAACCAATAAATTGAATCCTGTCTACTTATATCCTTCTCAGCTTGCTCCTGTTTTAATTTTTCCGGTCGACTTTTTACCCTGTTGACCTTCTGCACACCCGACTTTTTCCCGTTTCGACGTTTGTCCTTGTTGGCTTTCATCCATGTTGACTTTTCTTCCTTTGGCTTTTTCGATCCGAGTTTTATACATGTCGACTTTCATTTATATCGTCTCCTCGTCGTTCGACTTTTTACATTGGAACCTTTCCTTTCACCTATTTCACTCGGGCTGTTTGCCCGGACACCGACTAGGAACGGCCGAGCTATCAGGCCATCCACAGACGCTGATTTCCATCTGTGCAGCTGTGACACCGGAGATGACGGGATGACCAGGTATACGATGCTGTGTCGCCAGAGCTGCTCAGTTTCGTGCGCTTGGTGATCGTGCGCGACCTGGAGGTGGTCGGCTCGGTCACCTACGGCCTGAACACGGTGTGCGCCGGCCTCGCGATGCACAGCGCCGCCTCTGTCGTCTACACCATGGCCGTCCAAGACCGCTCGCTCTGCTGCTTCACTCTCCGGGAGCCGGACCAGGTGGGCGCGCACGTGCGACCGCGCTGTTCGACAGAAGCGTCAGCCGTGGGTGCACTGCTCTTTAGTTCGACGGGAGCGTGAGCCGTGGGTGCACTGCTCTTTAGTTCGACGGGAGCGTGAGCCGTGGGTGCACTGCTCTTTAGTTCGACAGGAGCGTCAGCCGTGGGTGCACTGCTCTTTAGTTCGACAGGAGTGTCAGCCGTGGATGCACTGCTTTTTAGTTCGACAGGAGCGTCAGCCGTGGATGCACTGCTCTTTAGTTCGACAGGAGTCTCAGCCGTGGATGCACTGCTTTTTAGTTGGACAGGAGTGTCAGCCGTGGATGCACTGCTCTTTAGTTCGACAGGAGTGTCAGCCGTGGATGCACTGCTTTTTAGTTCGACAGGAGCGTCAGCCGTGGGTGCACTGCTTTTAGTTCCACAGGAGCGTCAGCCGTGGGTGCACTGCTCTTTAGTTGGACAGGAGCGTCAGCCGTGGGTGCACTGCACTTTAGTTCGACAGGAGCGTCAGCCGTGGGTGCACTGATTTTTAGTTCGACCGGAGCGTCAGCCGTGGGTGCACTGCTTTTAGTTCGGTACTGTCGTGGCAGGCTGGACGTCTCGAAGGAGGTAATTTTTTCCCGCTTTGAAGTATGCAGGTGGCTCATGGACTTACTCTACGATGTTCCAGTGCACACCTTCCTGTCTGGATGCGGCCTAAGGGGCTTTAGTACACACTGTCGTTAAGCAACGCACACACTTGAGCACATACGTTGGCTGAGCCCGTGCTTTAGAACATTTTTTAAGATTGCATATGACCGTTTTTGTGCGGTGGTTGTCATGAAACGTTGCCACGCTGCTTCCTTCCGACCTTAGAGAAATTCAGGGCTGTGTTTTCTGTGTTTCGCCTTCGAAAGTTACCGAGCTCACTGGAACGTAATGGTCTTCACGGATTAGGTGAAAACGCCGTGGGTACTCGTACATAATGGGTAATAGCTAAATGGGTAGATCTTTAGGGAAATCACAAATGTGCGGACGGCTGTGGGTAGAACGTTCGAGAGGTGCCAGATGTATATTTCGTGAAGCATGATGTAATATCACGGTTTGTCCCCGTTTAGCTGCATTTAACTCTATCAAAACTAAATTTGCAACTATTAACAAAAGGGTTGAATGAGGGTGTAACCTTTTATCTTCTAATCTCTTCCATGGGTAATGGTGAAGGCCTCCGACAGTACCAAGAAAGGACAATAAGGAAACTAATTACAAATGTGCAGCGGATGGGTGCAACCAACAGGTGTAGAGTTTGGATTGAGTGAATGAAATCGTGCCCATGAAGGCTTCTTGCAGAACAATATAAATTCAATTGACTGATATCTCAGTAAAAGGAGGTCCCTCAGCTGACTTTGCCGCTGTGTGTGTGGACAGCTGATGGCGGAGCAGGAGGCCGCTTAGCTGACTGGCCATTGTGCGTGTGTGGACAGCTGATGGAGGAGCAGGTGTCGGACCTGATCTGGAAGCCGGACGCGTCGGCGCCCAGCGAGCACGAGCTGCGCCGGGTGCTGGTGCGCACCGTTGGCCGCTTCGTGCTGACGGCGGCCGACGACGGCATGGTGCGCGGCCGACCCGACGACCTCAACAACAAGGAAAAGGGCCCGCTGGGCGACCGACACTCGCGGCAGACCCATCAGGCCAGGTGCGCTCTGGTGCACGTGCACGCGCACCACGCTGGGTAGACCATGATCGGATGCCGCCCGCCAGACCAGGTGCGCGCTGGTGCACGCACCAGTCCAGACGCATGGCCAGAATGGCAGCAGTCCACAAGGTCAGGGCTCACCACTGAGAGGAAACACACCAGGCTGGGCGGTCCAGGGTGGCAGGGTTACTGACCAGATGCACCACTGGCAGCCGCGCTAGGTACAGGCTTCACCGGCGATATTTTGTTACGAAATCCTGCCGCCACCCATTCATGCTCAGTTTCGCGCATCCGGTGCCCCGCCCGCTTGTATTTATGAGAAAACTTCGGGAAATTTTACACCGACACTGATTGTTTACGTTGATAATCGGCCGATTGTGCAACCGGACTTTGTCTTAGATGTAACCATAAATTGTCAGATCTGCTCTAATCTGCTTTTTTTGGCTGTACAAATCTGCTTTTGCTATCTTAACCTACCCCAAGCCGAATTTACACATGTGGGTTTAAAATATTATTGTATACGCCCAGCTCATGCTGCTAAGGAGGAGGACCAGAGGTGGTGTGAGTTGCTTCAGGGTAATTTGTCCAATCAGAAATTAATGGATTCATGTGGGGTTGAGTTGATTTAAAGCGGGTGGAAGTAAGCAGTTCTCAACAACAAGCTAATGCAAATACTTAATGCTCCATCAGGGACGGAAACCAGACACCGAAAACATCGCTTCACTATCAGTGCCACGGTCCCACGGGCCTTGTCATGCATTGGTGTGGCCAATGTTTACGGGACGCCTTCTTGTTGATGTCATTAATAAGGTAGTATATAAATCAGTACCTGTGCAGCGACTTGGCGGGGCGAGACTTGTGCTATACGAGACATGCCATGCTCTATATGTTATACCCGTCAGCTCTTCTACGTATAGGTTAAGCCTCACCCCAAAAAAACAGACTGAGCGAACGTAAGTGAGCACTTGGGCAGATGAAATCAGGCCGAAGGTGTCCACTGAATGGTGTCGCTACATCAGTGCTTCTACAAACATTCTAATCAACCAGCCCACAACGGCAATAATACCAAGCAACATTTATTCTACTGAAAACGTTGAATGCGGCGTCGTATTGTTGCAAGCCAAGTTTTGGCTGGAGCTGGAAGTAACGGCTAAACCTGCTCCAAGGTACATATAATAGAGGCTTGTCCCAATGTTACCCAGGGTAGATTAGATGGGGAGTGGATAGGGTCCTCGACTACAAACCTGGTCTGAAAAACTACAACTAAAAAAGCTTAAAAAAGTCTGGTGGTCACTGAAACGCGATATAACTTCTGCAATATCTTTTGTAAGGTTAAGTGGTACAGGGTAAAACTAATGCTTCCAAAAGTTATACCCTTCACTGAAATTCTACTAGCAAAACTATCATCTTTGCTCATTGGCCAAGTACAACAACTCTACGAAGTAACACAACTTAGCGAATCAATATTTTATTTTTTTTGCATCGGCTTTCCCAGTTGGGGCTTCCTTCCAGCTTGAAAGCTGTTTTAATACCATTGATGGATGTTTGACACTCCACAGCTAAGCATTGCATTTGAAGAAATGTCGTGTGAACGCATAACTATAAGTTTTGGCAGTAAAATTGGATGCCAGGGGCATTTTCTGAAGCATAAGTTTTGTCGTGAAACACATGTCACATGCAGAAGCAGTTTCGTGGAAAAGTAATTGCTTCAGCAGTTTTGCCAGTAGAAGTAATGTAGAGCTTAATTTTTTGGAGCATAGACTTCGTCGCGTAGCGCTTGTTTATATGTATTGGCAATAGAAGCTGTGTGGCAGCAGTCTTGTGGTTGGAGTGTTTGCTATTGCACTGATGTAGAACCCTGGCATAGTGCCGGTGACAGACTACCGTGTATTTCCCCTCCCCACCCCACCCCAAAAACGTCCTTGATCATGGGAGAACGTCAAGCGTCAACGCACTAGAGCTTGCGGTGCCCCGCTCAACCGTCGAATGCTGTTTTCGGACGAGTGTTCAAAAGCTGCAACTCTTTGAATTTCGTTCACAAAAGTCACTCCAAAAGTAAGATAATGTCCACTGTCTTGGACGAATATGGCGCATACTGCCGAGGCTGGCGCTAACTGGAGCCATCTGCGAGTCGGCTGGCGTTCGCAGGCCGCAGCAACTGACGTGCTCTGGTCGGCTGCCGATGCCGCAGCTCTGGCGGCGTCCGCTCGTTTGAGGTGCAGCCGAGTGGCAAGGAGGCGGCGCTCGTGGGCTTCGACGGCACCCTGATGCGCATCTCCCTGCCGTGAGTGTCGCCTGATGGCCGGCTCCGTGCCGTCTCACGTGAGGCCCAGTGTCACACCATGCTAGTGATTGGTGGGCACCCTGATGCACATCTCCCTGCCGTGAGTGTCGCCTGATGGCCGGCTCCGTGCCGTCTCACGTGAGGCCTAGTGCTGCACCATGCTGGTGATTGGTCAGATCACAGCTGCGATTGCGTATCTTTGGTGGCACGCATTCATTCCTGTAGATTGGTGCTCCCTTCCTACATTTGCAGCGTTGGTGTAGACAGCAGGTGCACGCATAGAGTCGGCGCATGAGAGTGGGCGCCATGTGTTGACTGTGCGTTGTTGCTTGCCTGTTGGTGAGTGACGTCGGCACGCCACAGTATGGCCTGTACGTCCCATGAGCCTGTGGTTGGGTGCAGTCAGCCCGTCGCAGCGCAGCCTGTGCGTCCCATGACCCTGTGGTTGGGTGCGGTCAGCTCGCCGCAGTGCGGGCTGTGCGTCCCGTGAACCTGTGGTTGGGTACAGTCAGCCCGTCGCAGCGCAGCCTGTGCGTCCCATGAGCCTGTGTTTGGGTGCAGTCAGCTCGCCGCAGCGCGGGCTGTGCGTCCCATGAGCCTGTGTTTGGGTGCAGTCAGCCCCCCACAGCGCAGCCTGTGCGTCCCATGAGCCTGTGGTTGGGTGCAGTCAGCTCACCGCAGCGCGGGCTGTGCGTCCCATGAGCCCGTGGTTGGGTACAGTCAGCCCCCCACAGCGCAGCCTGTGCGTCCCATGAGCCCGTGGTTGGGTACAGTCAGCCCCCCGCTGCTCAGGCCGCGCGTCCCCTGAGCGGCGCCGGCGCGTGTTTCAGGTACAACCAGTCGGGCTCGGGCCGGCGGCGCCGCTCCACCTACTTCGAGAATCCGGTGGTGCCCGAGGCGCGCTACGTGGCCGCCATGCGCCCGCTGACGCAGATCGGTGCGGCCGCTGACCGGGGCTGCCTGCCTGCCGGCCCATGCCCATCCTTCAGATGATGTCGACAAACGCCCCAAATGAAGCCAGTCTGATATCGTTTTGCCGATAGCATTTAGCCCATTAAGATTGTCGGCGTGCCGTTTGCTCCGTGTCGACAAATCCACCTCCTAAAAGTCGAATGGCAATGCGTTGACTGGATTTTTTGTCCATGGGAAAAGTGCTGAAATACCAACGAGCCGAAATATGTATTTTTGTGTGTAGCGTAAATGTGCATTTGCCGAATGCCAATATGCCTTAATGTTGTTCAGTCGAATACGTTTTCTGTTTTATGTGCTTAAATCTGACGCCAATAAGACCAATGTCCATCGTTCTAATGCTGACGGGCTGAAATGTTAATAAGCTGGTGGTAGAGGCGCCTTAAACGTGAAAGTGTTACTTGTCACAGACTGCTTAGATTTTCCTGGCATTGCCGTGCGCGGTGCCTGATCTGGTCAGAATCAGATGCCCTCAATATGGCATACCATGGTTCTGACTAACCTCCCACTATGGGCAGCTGATGGGCAGCTGGAAAACAAGCCCGCTGACTGGCCCGCGGTGAGGGAACCAGCGTCAATACTTCCAAGGCTTGTAACGCTCTGAAAGTCAGTTACATTTTCATTATTAAACGTAATTTATACCCAAAACGAGCTGTCTATCACATAAACTTTCCCGTATGCTTGCAAGTGCTGGAAATGATAAAGGTAACGGTTATAGACCTACTCGCCTACCGGGCTCCAAAAATGTCGTTTTCACTCCTCAAGAATGGACCTGTTTCCGGGCATACCCGAATACTGATCGCAACTGAGATGTGACTGGTCGACCTGACGGGGTCAAACGTGATGCCGCTGTGTCCGTTGGGTTCACGGCTATCCGTGGTTTTGCTGAGCTTGATCACCATCCTTACTGGGGGCCAGATAGCAAGGGGCCATTACATCCCCTCCGTGTAAGCGTTGATAATGATCGTGGCGCGTATGTGGTAGATTTCCAACCCCTCCATTTGCCTTCATTGTTTTACCGATTCCGATGGTTACTCCATACCCTTGATGAGAATGGTTTCTACCAAACCGCTCTTCATCAGTGTGGAGCGCCCCTTATAGCCCGCCGTGGTTGGTACTTTCATAGACCTCTCCGTCGTCCAATTTATGTCGTTGCAAAGTAAATTTTATTAGTTGGCTATTACCCGAATTTACATTCATCGAGCTGCCGCTTGTCAAACCCTGCGTTGCGAGAGCTGTATCTAAAAGGTTAATTGGCCATTCAGTAATTTTCCGTCCATCCAATTGCCGGTCACCCAAATTCCATTTCAAAATATTGACGTTCCGCCAATCAACATTTCGACTTTTTAGACGAAGTTTTCGTCTAAGTAATATGTCGACATATTTAAGGGTTGGCACTTTGCGCGTCGGCGTATCGTCCATTGGCAATTCGCCTTTAAGCCGTTCGCGCTTTTGACATGGCGGCAAAACATATCCAGGTGTACATTTGGCAAAAAAGGATTCGGTTAAACGCCGTTCGGCAATTTGCCCTAAAGCCATCTTTGCTAACCTCCTGGTGCCATCCCTGCTGCTTTCTCCGCCACGTTTATTTCCGTTTCCTTAGTGGCAAAGCATTCACCTAACTGTTGCGCTAAGTCCCCTGGTAATGCGCAGCTCAGTGCGCGAATTCCTGCGTTGGTAGACATCGGATATGCGGGCTCAGCTGATCGCGCCAGATTCCTTCATGCCTGTCAAGTAGCATGCGCATTGTCCGCTTGGCTGCGGTGTGACATGGACATTGGTGGCATCCTGATATTCTGCAATATTGATCAATGCTGCCGTTCTCGGCCAGCCTTCCAATTAGCGTTGTTGGTCCTCGGCCTGCACGCACACTGATGTCACAGACAGCGGCCGGGGCCGCGGATTTCCCCCAATATCAGCCTGTGCAGATAGACAGTGTTTGTCATGTTGCGTTATAGGGACGGACTGAAATAGCGTGAACCGTGCTGATATTAAAAATATCTGGTGCATCGCCGAACAAGCTGAAGAGGAAGTCACGTGGCCACCGCCACGTGACTTCACCACGTGACCATATGGCTTTAAACGCTGTAGCCCAACTTTTGCGCTGGGACAGGTACTAGTCAGGGCAGAAGAACACTGGTTTGAGTATACCGCACCACTTTGTTTGCTCCTCCTGCAACCTCAGTGAGGCCAATGGCTCACATGGTGGGCCGGTGATCGGGTGGTGAGAGGTGCGACGTGGTGGGCGGTCCTGTGGGGTGAGAGGTGCGACAGGTGTGAGAGGCCGGTCGTGTGCGGTGAGATGGTGTGCGGCGAGTGGCCGCCAATGGTGGGGTGTGATGCGTCACGGGCGGGCCATCTGGTAAGATGGGATGTTTTAGGGGTGGCCGCCAATGGTGAGAATCGAAGTGACGGCCGGCTATCAATGATGAGGTGAGGTGTGAAGTGAGGGGGTGAGATGGTGAGATGTGAGGTGACGGGTGGCCATCAATGGTGAGGTGTGGGGTGACGGGTGGCCATCAGTGGTGAGGTGTGAGGTGACGGGTGACTATCAGTGGTGAGGTGTGAGGTGACGGGTGGCCTTCAGTGGTGAGGTGTGAGGTGACGGGTGACTATCAGTGGTAAGGTGTGAGGTGACGGGTGGCCATCAGTGGTGAGGTGTGAGGTGACGGGTGGCCATCAGTGGTGAGGTGTGAGGTGGCGGGTGGCTATCAGTGGTGAGGTGACGGGTGACCGTCAGTGGTGAGGTGTGAGTTGACGGGTGGCCATCAGTGGTGAGGTGTGAGGTGACGGGTGGCCGTCAGTAGCGAGGTGTGAGGTGACGGGTGGCCATCAGTGGTGAGGTGACGGGTGACGATCAGTGGTGAGGTGTGAGGTGACGGGTGGCCGTCAGTAGTGAGGTGACGGGTGACGATCAGTGGTGAGGTGTGAGGTGACGGGTGGCCGTCAGTAGTGAGGTGACGGGTGACGATCAGTGGTGAGGTGTGAGGTGACGGGTGGCCGTCAGTAGTGAGGTGACGGGTGACGATCAGTGGTGAGGTGTGAGGTGACGGGTGGCCGTCAGTAGTGAGGTGTGACGTGACGTGAAGACTGTCCGCCTCTGCTGAATCGTGATGTGACGGTGTGCCTGATCGCCGCCAGATCTGATGACTATGCCGCCCACCTGGCGAGAGCTGACGGCTGAGCAGGCCTGGCGTCGACGGGAGTCGGAGCTGGTGGCCATCCGCGAGCGTATCAGAGAGGGTGTGCAGACGCTCCCGCACTAAGGTAAGCCTGGTGGGTGCTCGGGTGGCAGCCGGCAGCTCGGCTACTCGGTTGGGGCTGTGGCTGCGCTGCCAGGCGCCGGAGACTAGAGTGTGTCGGAGTGTCACCGGCGGCGGCCGCTGTCAGTCCTCTGCGCCGGCCGAGTGTCACCGACGGCGGCCGCTCAGTCCCCTGCACCGGCCGAGTGTCACCGACGGCGGCCGCTGTCGGTTCTCCGCGCCGGCCGAGTGTCACCGGCGGCGGTCGCTCAGTCCCCTGCACCGGCCGAGTGTCACCGACGGCGGCCGTTGTCGGCCCTCTGCGCCTGCCGAGTGTCACCGGCGGCGGTCGCTCAGTCCCCTGCACCGGCCGAGTGTCACCGGCGGCGGCGCTGCTGCCGCCTAATTGGCCGGGCCGCCGCCACCGGGTGATGGAGAGCCGGCCGCCGTCCGCCCACTCGTAATTGGCCGGATTGGGGGTCACGGGCGCGTGTTATCCCCGTCGTCGGCCGGCGGGCGGAGACGTCGGGCCGCCTCAGCCACCACCGGACCGCGCTAAGTGATGTAGCACGCTCGCCCCGCTGCCGACATAACGTCGGCATGTTACTGACGCGCTGGCGACGACGCGGGGCGAGTACAGCTGGTAGGTCAGACCAACTTACACGGGGGCCTCCGCCACCGCCGCTGTATTCTGAGACCGGCGCCATGAACGACACGGAATTCTTGCGTTGGTTCGCGCTGCCCCGGTGTTCTCATGAGCCCCCCCCCCCCCCCCGCCACGCCGGGAGAGTTGAGCACCCATCCACCGGCAAGGTACGGCCGAGAGCCGCGCCGCAACCATGTGCCGCCTGAGGTCGCAGACATGGCAATAGCAGGCTGTCATGGCCCGCACTGCTGGCGATCTTACCAACACTGTGAGACTCGGGGTCCAGCTTACTGCTTCGAGGTGTGTGACCCACCAGCTGGGAAGGCGTGGTACAGACATGTTTGAAATGGGCTCATCAGCTGCTAAAAACGGCAGCCGACGGGACTTCTGGCGCTGCTGAGTCTGCGCCGGGTGGAAGTCGCTGAGTCTGGGTTGGGTGGACGCCGCTGAGTCTGGGCGGGGTGGACACCGCTGAGTCTGGGTCGGGCGGACGCCGCTGAGTCTGGGCCGGGTGGACGCCCCAGTACCAAACGGATCAGTTTTTTGGGTTCTATCCAACTCGTGTTGGGTTAAGCCCGATCCAGAACTAATCGGTATCCATCAGTCTTTCAAGTTTGATCCAATCCTAGTCCAAACTATCTAAAACATGCCAAAGTTTGATGGAGCCAGGGTTGGAAAACCCATGTGTAGTATAATGCTGTGTTGCATGTTGCAAGTTTCGCGCAGAAACTTCCAATTTGGGCACTAGTGACAAGGACAAGTACAAATGATTCCCATCAATGAGGATTGGTCCATATCCGGCTTTTCGTCATATTTTTCTCCCCTCGCTATCATTTGATGAAAGAACACAAGCTCGCCGCCCAGTCAAAGGGCTTGGAAGCTTTGGGATTCATCTCTGAACATAACTATCAGTCCCCAAAACGTAGAAACCCGGAAAGTTGAGAGGGGTAGAGGTGGCACACACCCATATGAGTGACGATTAGGGGACGTCACCAAAAATCTGATGGTATTTTTCGAAGGCACTGGATCTCTGTGCAGACTTAAACCCACAAAAATATGGATTCCCTGCCATTGTAGCATTCCATGAAGGAACACAAATATTTCATTCTCTTAAATGGTTGCGAGTTTTGAATTTGATAATCCAGTTTGACCTATAAAGACACTGGCATTTTGGGAGGAGTTGATGTGGCAAGGGCACACATAGTTTCAAACGCAGATAATGTTTTTTTTCATTCAACGGCCAGGAGAGATTCGCTCAATAGGTACTGAGAACAATTACGATAATTTGTATGTCAAATGTTTACTTTGGACCGAAACGCTGACTTGTTTTAGCTTACACTAAGACACTTGCCTATCTGCTAATTATAAAAGGCCAGTAGCAAACTTTTTATCCAAATCCGATCACATTCCGTACAAGCCGTACACAATACAATGGGTTTTGCACCCGCACAGTGTAAGATGAATGGCAGTCCGTTTTGATACCGGTCGTCCCGCTGGCGGTCTTGTTGATCCCGCCTGGGACTCTGCAGTCAGACAGGGGTTGCCGGCTGGCGGGTCTCGAGTCACAATCGGCCTGCGCAGCGGTGGCCGGCCGGCGGCGATAGTGCGCCCGTTTGCCGCTGATCTGTCGGCCGGCGGTGCGCGGTCCCGCGGCTCCCGGCGTCGGCCGGCGGTCGGCGGCTCGAGCCCATAGCCCCGGCCCCCAGCGACACCCAGGAACGCCCGGCTGGTGAGCGGCAAGTGGCGGGCCCCGCTGCTGGGGACGCCTGGCTGGTGAGCGGCAGTGGCGGGCCCCGCTGCTGGGACGCCCTGGCTGGTGAGCGGCAGTGGCGGGCCCCGCTGCTGAGGCGCCTGGCTGGCGAGCGGCAGTGGCCGGGCCCCGCTGCTGGACGCCTGGCTGGTGAGCGGCAGTGGCGGGCCCCGCTGCTGGGACGCCTGGCTGGTGAGCGTCCGTAGCGGCCCCGCTGCTGGGACGCCTGGCTGGTGAGCGGCCGTAGCGGCCCGCTGCTGGGACGCCTGGCTGGTGAGCGGCCTGGGCGCGGCTCCACTGCCGGGACCCCACTGGCGTGCCATCTGCGCCGGCCTGTGCTGAGGTGCGGCCGTCTGGTGGTCCCGGCAGGTGAAGCACATGCTGGACGCCAACGCCGAGATGGAGGAGATGGACCGGCTGCCGGAGAGAACGAGTTCGAGCTGGACCTGGACGAGCAGACGCGCCTGACAGAGGCCAGCCAGGCCAGGTCAGGCCAGCTGGGCCAGTCGGTTCGTTAGCTCATGCTGTGTAAAGGATTCGTACCGATTTCAGCTGTTGTAGCACAGCAATGCCGTGTGGCCGGTGTAGTGGCATGCTCATTAGGTCTGGTTCTATTACGTGATGAATGGGTCTCAGGTCTTCGTGGTACTTCATGTGGTACATCCGGGAGAATGCAAAGGTTCTCTTTGGCATGATTGTAACGAAGTTGCTGCGACGACTTTTCAGGGTGGAGGAGGCCCGATCTTCGATAATAGACCAGAATGCTCGCAACATGTACGTCAGGGACCAGATCAAGAAGCAGTGCTGGGACGCCATGGACGTCAAGGGCAAATCCGTGCAGGTGGGTGTAATCACCATGAACTATATGTGGTTGTTACATTTGTTAGTTTCGTCGTTTCAGCTCACGAAAACATGAGCCGTCCTATGACACAGCGAATGCATTGCACACATGCGAAAAGTGTGGGAATTGCGAACAGCGTGCGAATGTGTAGAATATAAATTGTTGGAATCTAAAACGGAAAAACTTCAGCATTACCACGCGAACCGTGCACTACTTTATCGAAAGTAGCCATACTAATTGACCTTTGTCATTATCCTACGCATATTGATGCCAGCAGCAGACCGTTCAGTTGGTAAGCTTAATCAGACGGCAGATTGATGGACGAGTGCGCACTACAGCAGCCTGTTCGTGTTGACATGCTCTGCGCTCAGGGCCTGATGCTGAACCTGGATGTGTCAAACTACCCGCTGCTGGCGCGCTCGGACCAGCTGCGCGCCGTACTGGACGCGCTGCAGGAGCGCCGCCAGCTGGAGGTGGCTGAGCGGCAGCTGCAGCAGGAGCTGCTGGAGCCGGCGCCGCCGCCGCCGCCGCCGCCGGCCGCGCCCGTCTCGGCGCCGTCCTCCCTGCACAGGTCAGCACGGCGGGTCGGGCCGCGCCGCCGGCCGGCCGCCGCCGTCAGCAGGTGGCGGACCGGTGCGGCCGCCATCGGTCACGCCCAGGCTGATTGCTGTGTGGGCCCAGACGAGGAGGCCTGACCGATGGCGGTATCTGCCACGGACGCGGCCGCACCCCGGCTGGCTCTGTTCGCCGGAGTAGTCGGCACCGCTTGCCTCCCATTGGTCAGCTCGTTACGGGCCTCAGTCTTGGCCGGCGTGTGCCGCGGTCGTAGATGCGATTGACGCGGCGTCGTTCCAGCCCCGCGCGCGTGCTTCTTCCGGGGTTGGAATGGAGATGGCGTCGTTACGTGGTCCGCAGGGATGATCGCGAGGCCTGGAGACAATCTTGACTGCCGCATCCCAGCTACGTAGAGCTTAATCTACGTCTGTTCGAGTGGCGTGAGCTGATCGTCTGACATGGGAACAAACATGTGTTGTGCATTTCTTTGCGAGACTGAAGAATGCGCTTCATTTGGACAGTAGATATGTCCAGACCTGGACTTTTTGTTTTATCGCAAAGTGATCTTCCAAGTCGAACTGTATCTTCTTCGCTGACATTTGTTGGCTCCACAAGTCAAGTCTGCGTGTGAACACGGTTTCTGACGTCTTGAGATGCGTGGTCGAAGCCGAGAGGCGATTATTCGTTATGCCTCGCGACTCCACTGGTCTTTGTTGGTGCTGGTATCTACCACGAGAGGGCAACATGCGCATTTCTCCCATTCGGAGTTAAAGTACAGATTGCATGTCACGCTTAGCCTCAAATGTAATGATCGAGAACGGATTTTCGACTCCTTGCGATAGCCAGCAACATAGACTCGAGATTGATACGCATTGATGTCTCGAGAATCTACTGAGCCTAGCACACGGAATGCCACCATTTCCGACAAAAACAGAGCGTTCAGTCTTTTTCTAATTCAAGGAATTTTATTGACAAGCTGGAACTAGCCTCCTCTTATTGAGCTGCGGGCAAATGCGTCATCGCGTCAGTCATAGCCAAACACGTTCAGGTTTTCAACCCAGGACTTTCCTCAGCCGAGAGCCTCCAGCTGAAAGATTTGTGTTGATGGTAAATGGCATGGTTTTTTCACCAGCAAAATGTTCAAGTTTAAATGTTCTCACGTATCAAAATGCAGTTTGTTAGTAGTTCATGAGAATCGATGCGTTCTGTGGAAATATTAGTGCCAGACGGATGCTTTTTGCCTCGCAAAGCCATTAGAACTAGAGACGCAACTTCCTAACGGCCAGCCTGCCACATGTGACACGGCAATAAGCCACAGAACCTTGCAGGCCAGACTTGGCGGGCCTTTGCGTGTAACATGTCCAGAACTGGGACAGTGCATTTTGGGCTTGTGTTCACATTTTGAAACCTTGCAATAGTCAAAGATGAAATCTATGCACAATGAAATGCTCTAAGTGATATTTGTCGCGCCACGTCTAACGGTGTTTGTAATCGTGGGCTCTATATCACGGAAAACCCATGTCATACGCCGCGCCAGACAAACAGATAGAAAATGCAACTTTCGTGCAAACATCTGGCGGAAAGGTTAGCACACATAATTACCAAAACGATCACATTTTAAAAGTCAGAGCTCTTATGCTGAGGTATCGACCTTCCATATCATGGGTACCGGTTAAACGACGTTATAGAGCTGACATTTGCAATATTTGTATTATCGATACTCAGTCGAGTGTTCTGAGTCTGTTTCGCACGGGCTGTTATGTAGTGGAGGTAGTGGGGTGTGTCGCAGGCGCGATAATTGCTAAAATTTACTGGTGACATCAGAAAGTACATTGGAGTTTAAATGAGAATCGCATTGACTCGCATTACAAGTAAGTTAGTGTATTTGTTAGACTCCAATCTCGAAAATGGTTCCTTCGATCAAAATGGCCTCGTTGCAATGAGACGTGCCCCTGATTGCCAAACTCCGGTGTGATGTGCTCTGGTTTGTGACCATTTTAAAACAGGTATATCGTGCTCTGTCAGTTTACGGAATTCTGCATTCTAATGTAGATCTCATTTCGTGGCGTGGCAGGCTTCCAATTGCATTGCAGCGTGACAATCGTGTTTTACTGTATCGCGCCAAGGTCATTTCCTCGCCATCCTCAAGACCCGATGCGCTTAGCAGAATTTTCCTACAGGTAATGGTTCCTTGCACGACTGTCTTGCTACTCATTGTGCCTAATGCAAAGGACATGACGAAAATGAGCCTTACTTTGTCGGTGAATCGTGATCTTTGTGAGTAATGATCAAAGTCGCGCAGACAGTAATGGCGTTTTCTAATTCAAGGTTTAAGCTCAGACGCGACTGGGTTTCAATGTTGACGATTTCACACAGGCTGAGATCACGCGACTGGACTTCAATGTTACCTGGCCGCTGGTGACCATGGCCGCTGGCGATGTTACTACTGACAGCGTGCCGGCTGCGTGGTTCCAGTGGCTGCTGGCGGAAGCCGCGACTTGCCACACGGTGATGCCATCGCTTGACAGCCGACCACACCTGCAAAAGATCTACAATCACCTTATAACACTTCGGAAATCGCTGGATCACGCTATGACTGTTTCCTAACGTCCTCAAGTCGAAAGATGACGTCAGTCTGCATTCGGCAATTCGGGGCTTGCCGCATCGCGATGTGACGGTTTTGAAACGACCGGTGACTGCTTCGGGATTGAAGCCCAGCATGTCTGTCTGCATTTTGTCGTGCCTACAATGCAGTGCATTATACACTCGATAACAGAAACTCCGAAGTCGTATTTTTGTTACCGTTACTGTTACTTCTGTCACCAATTTTCAACGCGCAGGGAACAAATTAATGTAAACTGATGATATAAATGAACATTGCTCGAAAATTGTCGCAGTTTGATTTATAATTGTTGGAGAGCGATGGAAAATTAATTAGGATTAATCGAAGCACAATACGGACCCAAGTCCGAAGAATGCTCCGTGGTTGTTTTTTCCATCACATTTAAGAACGTGCTACTGACAAAAGCAAAATGTGCGGGACTTTTAACGCCTTACTAGAAACTTATTATGTTAAATTGAATACTTTACGTTTAACTAACCTTAAAGCCTTAACTCGTACCCTTCTCGGACATGAGACTCCTTGGGGACAATACTAGGGTGTCCGTTACTTTCCTCGGTTGCGGTTATTTCAAGTTATTCACTGACAACCTATCGCTCGTTGTCGGAGATGGTCTCTTTGGAGTATTTATCGCGAGCCTACGCGTCGCTAACGAACTTGATGATCTGGAAGGACTCTACGTGCGACGTCTGAGCCATTTCCGTCCACTTGCTGTTGTAATCGACCATACATATGGCGAAACGGTGCCAATTTTTGCCACTTTTCAGTCGTGAAACGCCACAAAACGCCACTTTTCAGTCGTAGTCACCACCACAGGTGGAGCTTTGTTTACCTGGAGAGGTCCTGGCCGTCTTAATGTTTGTCACCTCCCCTCCCCCATGTTTGACCCAAATAAACGGAAGTAATACCGAAGGATGTCCTCATGAACTGGTGCTTCTCGTTATCACGTGGCCGGGATATTGCTGTGAGCTTTCACGCTTCCACGAACGGTGGTTATCAGAGCGTACACTTGACCGGTGCAGGTGGCCGCGTTTTGTTAGCATGAGCCCCGTGTACGTACGGTGAGCGTGCCTCTGCGGGAACGAGCCGGTGCCTTCAGCTGGGTGGCCCGGCAGCAGCGGTCGCCGCCGAGGGGCCGCTCGCGCTCAGGTCTGGCTGGAGCTGGACAGGCCGGTGCACCGAGAGATTCGCCGCGCTCTGAAGGAGCCGGCTGATCACATCAGGCGTGCGTGTCGCCGACGTCTTCTGCGCTGACGAATTGCTCTGTGCTCACAGTGCGCCACTGGAGGAATTAGCTAATGTCTCGGCCAGTGTATCTCCCTCGTCGACTCTGCCGCATCGAATGTCCGCTGTCAGTGGGGGCTGTTTATCTCTGTCCGTGTCCCAACCGCAGCGGCCGTTCGGCCGGCGCCCAGCACGGCGTTGGATGAGCGGCGCTGTCGCTGTGCGCGCGCGGGATGAGCCGCCCCCGTGCCGGTCGTGTTCGCTGACGGTGGGCGTAAGAGTGACCTGTCCGTGACGTCAGTGCCCCCGCCCTCTGGCAGGCAGTCGACCGCGTCGGTGGATGTCGACCAGGTGACGCCGGTCGCCGAGGACGAGCCGGAGAACGAGGACGAGGACGAGAACGAGGACGAAGATGAGGAGCAGCAGGAGACGACCCACACGGGTAGCCTCAGTCACCAGCTGGGCGTCACCAACCCCTGGCTGCTCTCGCAGTTCGACATCACCACTCGCAAGCAACGCGTGGAGCAGATCTACATGCTGCGGGTGACACTGGCGTTCCGTCGGTTCTCATAACGACTGTGGACTTCTTACAGCATGAGTTTTCAATCTGTCACTCTCAGTCAGCGAGGAGGAAATATGTGCCTCACTACAATCTCACGCAACATGTTTGGTGTTTTACGGTTTGTCTGATACTTAAGTCATGGCCTAGCCCATTTAGTAATTTCTGTGGTGTCCTGGGCGTGTCCACGAGTTTCACCTGTTCTTCTGACGATTTGATTGCTTCGGTTACCGTATCCATCGCCGCCTTCCGTTGTACGTTCGCTATGCATTCTGCGACATAGTACCGACTTTCCCCCGGTCAGGAGGTAATTTACCAGCTCAAAGAGAAGTTCAACGAGCGGTTCGAGGCGCTGTACAAGTCCAAGTGTGGCGAGGTACACCGCATCACCGAGTGGGCGCAGCGGCTGCAGCACATCTACTCGGAGCTGGACATGAGCGAGCAGCCCTGGCTGCCGCAGTGGTCGGACGCCGAACAGCCCGAGACCCTGCTCACCGTGCGGAATGACGAGGTCAGACATGTGGCGTGCTGCAGACGTGGCGTGCGGCGGCCGCGGCAGTCGTGCGCGCGTCAGACGTGCCGTGTGGCAGACGTGGTGTCAGACGTGGCCTGTGGCGGACTTGACGTGTGGCAGAGGCTGGGCGGGCAGCCACCAGTGCGTTAACGTCAGCTGACGACCGGGAGGTGCGCGCCACCTGCCAGCTGACTACCGATGCCAGCTGCCGCCGCGCATGCAGGTCTAACCTGCGTGGCATGATCACGCGCAGAACGACGACGGAGTCGTGCCTGTCGCGTGTGTTTGTGTGACTGTTGCCGTGTGTGCGTCAGGTGACGGTGGAGCGGTACCTGACGCCGGCCGAGTGGGCGCGGCTAGAGGCCCAGGCCGCCGAGGAGGAGCGACGCCGCCGCGAGCGCGAGGCTAACGACTTCCGGGAGCGCGCCATCATGCAGATGATGAACGGCGTGCTGGAGGTCCGCTGGGAGGACACCCTCAAGGTGGACGTGCCCCGGCCGGCGTTCATGGTGAGTCATCATCGAGGCGCGCGGTCACCGCACGAATCATAATCAGCGATTATCGGCCTGCTCAGTATTTGAGGAAGTGGCGATTAATTGCGAAGCATAGAACCGCTTCGGCTAGTTCAGGTTTCGACGGCGCCGGCGACGGTGTGCTCCTCTTCGCTGCCGGAACGTATTGTGACACAAGTCCCAGAAAGGTGTGTTTGCTTGTGAAAGTTTGTCATGCCTTGTGATGGGTGCACCTCAAGGAGAGTGACGTCGGCTGGTGGCTTTGGTTTATGCACGAACCCAGGTAAGCTTCAGTGCAGACAGATCAGGCTTATGGCAAGGTATGATACAGGAATTTGATTAACCGATGATGACCAACTAACGCCTCTGCATGACTTATCACGCTTAGCGAGCACCTATTCAGCACGTTTACTGAGCCATGTGGTGGGGCCCACGCATTTCCACAGCGTCCATCTGTGCGTTCAGATGGCGCCGCGTCTGTCGAGTGGGTTGGGGTGGGCCCACACAGCGTCCATCTGTGTGTCCAGATGGCGCCGCGTTTCTTGAGTATGGTTGGGCCCACACAGTGTCCATCAATGTGTTCAGAGGCCGCCGCGTCTGTCGAGTGAGATGGGGACCGTGCCAGCGGCTAGCCTGGTCCCCGTGCGCTGGCGGCGCGGAGCCCGGCTGTGACCCGGCGGCGTCGCGGCCGCCGCAGGACGAAAAGGAGCCGGACGACTGGACCGAAGACGAGGTCAAGGAGGCCGCCGAGTACGAGCGCAGGGCGGCCGAGTTGGAGGTGGAGCGGGACAAGTACCGCAAACTGCTGGAGCAGGAGCTCAAAAAGATGCTGGTCACCCTGCAGGTAGGCCGCTGGGCATGGCTCGCGGTCAGGGGGCGACAGATGCGAGTCCCAGCTGGCATCGGCGCGAGATGTCACGCAGAGTAGCAGCCTCTCGGCACTACTGGGCTGTGTATCAGCTGCGAAGCTGATACACGGCTCGCAGCGCTCCTTCGAAGCAGAAGGAGAGCCTTTTTGTTTTAATGAGTGTCCTTGTCCTATCATTTACCCCGCCCGCCCTCCCCCCTCCCCTTCAGGGAGTTTGCATTCACAAGTGTTTTACTAGAACTACGGGCGTCACAGCGTAGACATTTACTCCGGCCGTCTATTAAGCATTGCGTAACCATGAAAAAGTCGAGCCTTGTGTGTTTTGCCAGAAGTATCGGTGTCATGACGTTCAAAAGTAGTGGAACTGGGATTTTAAGCATATCGTGCGCGCGGAAATTTTATGAGCAGTAAGTACGCAGCACACTAGATGTTTTAGAAGCTGAGCTGAGGGTTTCGCCACCGCCGGTAGACGACTTCATTTATATCTATTGCATGTTGATAACGTGGAAATGGGTGAATATTTTCACGCCACCCCGCGCCATATCGTCATCTTGCTGGTTTCCCTGTCTTGTTCGTGATATTTATGCGTCATTATTTCCCGGGGCCCTTCCGCCGTGTATGATGTATGTCACGCTGGGTGCTGCGCTGGGCCGGTCGTCGGCCAGGCGCGGCCCAGTGCGTCGGCCGGCGGTCGCAGCGGCGGGGCCAACGCCGCCGCCTGACGAGGCGGTCGCCGGGTGGCGTCATTAGCCGACCCGCCGTGTCCGGGGGGCGGGTCCCGGCGGCCCGGCATCCGGCCTCGGCGCTGGCAACGGCCCTGCTCACGGCCCGCAGCTCACCGGCGCTGCACGGCCGGGCCGGGCCGCGCTGCCGAGAACACGGGCAGACGTGGGCCGGCTGGGGAGCTGAGACAGGCATCACACAGTGCTGTTGGCTGGAGGTGGGATCGACGTGGTATATCAGGGTGGAGGTGGGACTGACTCGGATATGGGGGAGGACGTTGAGGTCAGACCGGCCTAGTTTGTCAGCGTAGGGACTGGGATTGATCCAGCTGTCGGTCGCACAGAAGACGGTGGACCAGTAGGGACCGGGACTGATCTAGCTGTCGGTCGCACAGAAGACGGTGGACCAGTAGGGACCGGGACTGATCCAGCTGTCGGTCGCACAGAAGACGGTGGACCAGTAGGGACTGGGACTGATCCAGCTGTCGGTCGCACAGAAGACAGTGGACCAGTAGGGGACTGGGATTGATTCTAGCTGTCGGTCGCACAGGAGACGGTGGACCAGAAGGGACTGGGACTGATCTAGCTGTCAGGTGCTCAGGAGACGGTGGACCAGTAGGGACTGGGACTGATCGAGCTGTCGGTCGCACAGAAGACGGTGGACCAGTAGGGACTGGGACTGATCTAGTTGTCGGTCGCTCAGGAGACGGTGGACCAGTAGGGACTGGGACTGATCTAGCTGTCGGTCGCACAGGAGACTGTGGACCAGTAGGGACTGGGACTGATCTAGCTGTCGGTCGCACAGAAGACGGTGGACCAGTAGGGACTGGGACTGATCTAGCTGTCAGGTGCTCAGGAAACGGTGGACCAGTAGGGACTGGGACTGATCTAGCTGTCGGTCGCACCGGGAGACGGTGGACAGTAGGGACTGGGACTGATCTAGTTGTCGGTTCGCGCCCGGAGACTGTGGACCAGTAGGGACTGGGACTGATCTAGCTGTCGGTCGCGCAGGAGACGGTGGACCGGTTTGACGACAGTCTGAATCAGCTGTTCACGCTTAAGGTACAGACGGAACACGCTATCTACCAGGAGGAGCTGAAGGTCAGCAGACTGATCCGGGATGTGGCCAGCGAAGATGACCGCCAGAAAAGGGAGACCGAGCTCTGGTGAGCGCCCGGCAGCGACAGTCATGCAGCACCTGGTTGGATGCTGGCTGTGTGCGTGGGCGACTTGATTGAACGAGATGCCTGCATGGGATGGCTTTCCGCAGCTCGTTCAATAGGGTTTTGTATTTTCTTTGGTGAAATATTTTTTGAACCGGTCGCCAACTTGATTTTAGGGCCATGGTACTGGGAGATGAACTCGGAGCGTATGAAAAGTACAATGCTCAGCAGGACCTAGGTATTCAAATGTACTGCAGTGGCGCAAGCAGGGGGAGGGGCACAGGGAACGTCCCCTCTTAGGTTCCGAAGGGTCCTTCGGTCCTTGGGACCTACGATTAAGGGCCCGAAAGGCGCATGTCAGAATTAGTTTTCACGTCCGTAAAGCACGGTCTCTAAGGGCTTGGTCATGTTAATGCAAATTTTTAACCCATTTCGAGCTACAATATTCTACTGTAAAATGAAAATCGTCGGCCATTTTGTCATGCAGTCGCTTAACACATGATCTATTTAGTTCAAATTGCTTAGAATTCTGGCAGAACTTATTTTTGCGATAGCGTCTGGCGTCTATTCCAGCCGTTAACAGGTAAAAAGTAATGATAAGAAATGCCCTCACTAAGCATGGACCCATATCTGTCGATCTTATTTCGTTTTGGGGACCTTCCATCATCAGGGGGACCTTTATCAACCCTGTGCCCCTCCCCCCAAGGCTCTGCCCGCGCGCCTGATGTACTCCACGGAGTCTCGTGGGGGCAGTGCTCTTTGGCGGTTCGGACGAGTTAGCGTGCAGTGGACGTTCCGGCTCCCACTCTGTCCTTACTGACTGTCTTTAGCTTTGTCGCGTGGCAACCAGTGATGTGGTGTGACACGGAAGCAGAGATCAGTGAGCAGGATGGACAATTGTGTTACACTTTGAGTCAAGTAACAGAATATATTTTTCCGCTTCTTGTCTCAGGTAAATGGCTGCCAAGTTACTTGACACCGCACGGCGCGCCAATTAGCGTTATTTACTGTATGACGCCTGTCTCGCCGTCATCCAAACGTTCGGTTTGACCATAAGAGATACGCTGGCTCATCGTGACCCGTCGGCTGCCTACCGAGTAACGTCCTAAACTACAGCTTGTGTCGGCAGCCGCCAGATGGATTGTGACGCAGCAGCGCAAGATCGGCCTGCAGGCGGCCAACGCCGACCTGCGCCGGGCGCTGGAGGCGGCGCGCGCCGCCCAGGAGCCGCTGAATGCAGCAGGACCGGCTGATGGAGCGCGGCTTCCGACGCGAGTTTGCCGACGTGCCGTCCAACGTGGTGGACGCCCTGTTCCGTTACTTCAGGTGACGTGCGCCCGGCGCGGCGCGGGGCACTGGTGGTGGGGGTTAGGTGGCCGGCCCCGCCGCGGGCGGGGTGGTGCGCAGGCTGTGTTTCGACTCCAGCTCCAGTATCACTGGCTGACCTTAGCTTAGCCGCGTGGTAGCCAGCGGCGTATCGTGGCACGGAAACGGAAATTGGTGCAAGCGGGATGGAGAACTGTGACGACTAAGTCGACTATGCTCGTCAAACACACCGGCTGCATTTTCACGTAGCGGGCGCGATCCGGGCCTTAAGGAGGGATGTGTCGCACACACATCTGGCGGTGTGTCTGACTAGCCCCCCCCCCCCCCCCACCACCCCTCGGCGGCGCTGGCCGTAAGCCCGGCCGCACCGAAGCTGCCTGCTCGCCGAAGCACGTGTGTATGTGTGTGTGTGTGGGCCCGGCAGGCGGCGTCCGCCGTGTCTGCGCCGCCACATGGGGCCGGGCGGCCGCCGCTTCACGCTGGCGGAGGACGGCGTGATCGAGGTGGACAAGCGGCACCACGGCCGGCGCCGCTCCCGCAGCCGCAACCGCAGCCGTCACGGAAGCCGCTCGCCCCGTACGTGCAGAGTGCTCCTGTCCTCCGGTCAGCCAGCGGGGCGGGCGACGTCACTCGTTATATGGAATGACTTGGTGTCACTCGGCGTGGGCAGCTGGCATGTGATACAAACTTGTTTGTTTTGTTTATGTGACGGCCAGTTCGTGTCACCCGGCGCATGACACAAACTGGCCGTCACGTATATCATTCTGCAATGTTCTGTGGGTTCGTCCCCACTCCTTCACTGCTGTTCCTCCGTTGCTGTTTTCTTGCATGAGGTGCTCCGTCTGTCCGCGCGTCCGGCATCCGCCCTGTCTGCGCGCCGGGCTTGCAGTCAGCGTGCACGCGTGCGTCAGGCGGCGGGCTCCAACCGGGAGAGCGTGTCGCGCGAGCCGACCGATCCGGAGCATGCCCGCCGCACCACCCTGGCCGTGCCTGGCGCCTACCGCGGCTACGTCTCCTCCATGCATGGCGGCGCGCCCTACCAGGCCAACGTGAAAACCGTGCCCGGCAAGGTAACCCGTCCTCGTCCTTTGCCACCCGCCCCGCTTCCGCCACTGCGACCGGCTGGCCACGAGTCAGACCCAATACTCTCAGAACTCTGTGCGGCTGAGCCAACTGGCCGTGATGGCGTTTATGGTCGCGCCTCAGCCAGGCAAGGCTGAGCGGCCACCGAGCGCTCGTCCGTACTTATTTAGCGTGTGGATGTTGCGCGCGATGACGCCGTCGTTCCCTGTTGAACGTTTGCAGCCGCGGACTGTAGCGCCTGAACCCGTGTGTCTGTTGGCCTCTGCCATATCAGAGGTGTCAGGTATGCTGTTTGTCATGACTAACGCCGCGTCTGCTTTATAATACGCGTTGCAACAGCGGGCGATTCTGGAGGCGATGAAGGAGCTGGACGACGACGCGCAGCGCTCGGAGGATATCGAAGTGCCGCTCTGGCTCAAGATGTGCCAGCTGCGGCTGGCTAAGGTGTTGATGGAGTTCAAGGTACGGCCGTCGGCGACCGGCTGGGGGGAACACGTGTGCACGTGTGCGGCCGCGGCCGGGCGCCCGGTGGATGACCCTGCGGTGTGGGAGCCCAAGAGATCCGTGGGAAGGGAGGGGGGGGGGTGCGGGTGAGCCCCTTCGGCCTGCCGGCGCACGCGTCCGCTGTCACCTGGCTGTGTAGGCTAGAGAGCAGGGCTGGCGCCAACCACACACCCCGCGCAGGTGCTGCGCTGCAATGCCGAGGTGGCCGCCCTGGTGGACTCGATCGAGAAGCGGTGTCATCTCGAGGAAGCGCTCACCATCCGCTCGCAGGCGCTCATCTCGGAGCTGGCCGAACTGCGGCGAACGGCGGCTGCGGCAGCTGCACGACCACGAGGTACCTGCCCCTGTGTCTGTCTCGTGTCATGTCGTGTTTTGTCGTAGGGCAGTAATGGCAGGTGTAAGTCTGCGGTAGGAGGGATGCGTGTAAGTGATGACAATAGGTTTGTGCAACAGAAGTGAATATGACGTGTAAGGGTTTTGTAGCATAAGTTTTGTCACGTAGCAGGTATGCTGTGGGAGTATTTACAGTAAAAGCAATGTCGTAGCTTATCCGTAGGGATGAATTTTTGTTGTAGCACTGATGTTGAACCTTGAAAAATAATACTTTGGAATTCTCAACAAGATGTAAGATTGGTCGTTTGGTTGATCCTTGCCAGGCTTCAGATCAGACCGATGGCGACCTGGGACGTTTGTGGTCTAGGCCGTGCCAGGCTTGGTGGCTTTTACGGTATGTGCCGTGCCTCAGAGTCAGTGGATAATCTGATGGGGCCGACGCGGCGTGATGACTTGGTGACGTCCGTTGTCGGTGCCGTGCCTCAGCGTCAGCTGATAATCTGTAGCCGACGCGGCGTGGTGACTTGGTGACTTCCGTGGTCGGTGTCGTGCCTCAGAGTCAGTTGATAATCTGTAGCCGACGCGGCGTGATGACTTGGTGACGTCCGTGGTCGGCGCTGCGCTTCAGATCCAGCTGGTGGTGAAGCAGGGCCAGGTTGAGATAGACCTGGGTGACTTCTGTCCCGACTTCACGGGCTCGGCACTGATCCACCGCTCGCGGGTGGAGCTGCTCAACAAACAGATCCTGGTACGGCTCGCTGACCGCCGCCGGGTGTAAATGACTGGTGCCGCGTCACGGCTAACACGGGCACCGTTGGTCCCCACTGGAGACGTGGTGAGGGAGCCAACGTCTCTTGAAATGCGTGGAACGCTGAATGGCTCTCGCACTTTCTGGGACTCGACCTGCCCAGTGTCGTATTATGTAATCATTACGCTTCACATGTTTTGCGAACTTGGACATAATTCTAGACGCGTTCATTCTGCATAGAAATTCAGTATTCTTGGAATTGAAATGAATTGTCGAACGGCCGTATGACTTTGGGTCCATTCGAGAGTGCATCAGACGTGTCGACTGGTGTGGCGTGCTGCGGCAGGGCATCGGCGGCAAGAAGCTGGAGGTGATGCGGGACGCGCTGCGGTTCCGGCGCGGCATCGTCATGCAGCGCTGGGAGTACGAGCGCTGCCGCATGACGCTGGAGGACCTGGTGCAGACACTGCGCGACATCGACTTCATGAAGGTGCGCTGTTGGGGCCGCCGCCGATGGCGTCCGGCTGCCCCGCAGGGTGTCAGGACGTTGGCCGGTGATAGTCATGGCCGCCGGGGGCGTCCGGCTGCACCGCAGGATGTCAGAGTGTTGGCCAGGGATAGCCATGGCCGCCGGGGCGCTGTGGTGGCGTTTCGGCTGCACCACAGGATGTCAGCGTGTTGGCTAGGGATGGCCATGGTCGCCGGGGCGCTGTGATGGTGTCCGGCTGCCCCGCAGGGTGTCGGAGTGCTGGCCAGGGATAGCCATGGCCGCCGGGGCGCTGTGGTGGCGTTCGGCTGCCCCGCAGGATGTCAGCGTGTTGGCTAGGGATGGCCATGGTCGCCGGGGCGCTGTGATGGTGTCCGGCTGCCCCGCAGGGTGTCAGAGTGCCGGCCAGGGATAGCCATGGCCGCCGGGGCGCTGTGGTGGCGTTCGGCTGCACCACAGGATGTCAGCGTGTTGGCTAGGGATGGCCGTGGCCGCCGGGGCCGCTGTGTTGGCGTCCGGCTGCCCTGCAAGTGTCAGAGTGCTGGCCAGGGATAGCCATGGCCGGCGGTGGGGCTGCAGGCACCGAGCAGCGTCGGCTGGTGGTGAAACACTGGCGACACTCTGGTTTTTAACGCACGCCCCGCGCAAGCCCTGGGTCAAGCGGACTTACCATCATTTGTTGGTGATCGCTACTGTAGTGCCCACTCAGTGTTGCCCAATAGTAACTATTCACTTAAGCTGTTGGTTTGGTGCATTAAGAACCGATTTCGTTGTCATCTGTGACCACTGGCTGTTATTGAACCTCTCTTTCCTTTTCTTCTCTGCTCTGCTGGCTGTATTTGGACCATTGGACTCCATCGCGACAGTGTTGTGTCGGGGTCGTCAGTTGATTTCACACCTGATGACTGTTGGCTGTGCAAATCTTCATGGGAGTGGAGAGGTCGGCTGTGAGGTGCGCGGTTGTAACGGGAGTGGATAGGTTGGCTGTGAGGTGCGTGGCTGTAACGGGGGTGGAAAGGTTGGCTGGGAGGTGTGTGGTTGTAACGGGAGTGGATAGGTTGGCTGTGAGGTGTGTGGCTGTAACGGGAGCGAGGGGTCGGCTGTGAGGTGCGAGGCTGTAACGGGAGTGGAGAGGTCGACTGTGAGGTGCGTGGCTGTAGCGGGAGTGGAGGGGTCGGCTGTGAGGTGCGTGAATGTAACGGGAGTGAGGAGGTCGGCTGGGAGGTGCGTGGCTGTAACGGGAGTGGAGAGATCGGCTGGGAGGTGCGTGGCTGTAACGGGAGTGGAGAGGTCGACTGTGAGGTGCGTGTCTGTAACGGGAGTGGAGAGATCGGCTTTGAGGTGCGTGGCTGTAACGGGAGTGGAGAGGTCGACTGTGAGGTGCGTGGCTGTAACGGGAGTGGAGAGATCGGCTGTGAGGTGCGTGGCTGTAACGGAATTGGAGGGGTCGGCTGTGAGGTGCGTGGCTGTAACGGGAGTGGAGAGGTCGACTGTGAGGTGCGAGGCTGTAACGGGAGTGGAGAGGTCGACTGTGAGGTGCGTGGCTGTAACGGGAGTGGAGAGATCGGCTAGGAGGTGCGAGGCTGTAACGGGAGTGGAGAGGTCGACTGTGAGGTGCGTGGCTGTAACGGGAGTGGAGGGGTCGGCTGTGAGGTGCGTGGCTGTAACGGGAGTGGAGAGATCGGCTAGGAGGTGCGTGGCTGTAACGGGAGTGGAGAGATCGGCTGTGAGGTGCGAGGCTGTAACGGGAGTGGAGGGGTCGGCTGTGAGGTGCGTGGATGTAGCGGAGCGTAGTAGCCTCAGTCCCTAATCTGCACTGTCTGCCGGACGCTGCCTCACGCCTGGCGGGGTGTCTGCCGGCCAACAGGTGACTAGGGCCATCCAGCAGTATCTGTCGGAGGGCGGCGACACCACAGAGAAAAAGATCGCCCGTCTGGAGCGACGGCTGGACATCCTGTACCAGGTTCGGGTCCCGCTGCTGCTGGTCTCGTCCGCCGCCCTCACGTGCTCTTGACACCTCATGACGCGACACTTTCAATGTGTCATCGCAGGGGCCGTTTTTATATGAATTTGAATATGACTAGAGCGTAGAAACGCTTCTGTAAGGCGCGAGTTCGAGTGTGGTTGCTACATCGCTGACATTATCCGCTACACCGGTTACCGCCTCATCCACAACGGTCAGTTTTGCCCGCAACACTACCACCACGATCGCGGTGGTCGGCACCGCCCGGTACACTAATTACCACCACGGCCACGGAGGTCAGTATTACCCGCTACACCAGTTACCAACACACCCAGCGTGTGCGTACTGTGCACAGTGACTGTGCCAGATGGGGTACTGCCGATGAGCCGGAGCACGCCGCCGTGACCGTTCTGTGACGCGCCGGCTTTGCGGCGTGGCAGGAGGCGGGCGCGCCAGCGGGAGGAGGACGCCGACGTCACAGAGTACCTGGAGCGGCTGCTACGCATCAAGCGGGCCGACAACCAGCGGCTGGCGCTCGAGGCGCGCGAGCTCAACGTCGACGTGTCCGAGCGCGAGCTGCTCTATGACATCCGCTGTAACCATCAGCGGGCGTGGCAGGCGCGCCAGAGGTGGGTCCGGCTGCGGCCGCGGTGGTGTGGTCCGCCCGGGAAGTCGTCCCGCCCCGGCCCGGCCTGGCCGCCCGGCCCGCCATGGGCAGTCGTCCACCGGCGGCAGACAGCTGTCGCCGGGCGGCGTTGGAAGTCATCCGCCGGCTGAAACGCGCTGTGCTGACGGGCTTTCTGGACTCGGTGCGTACGAACTCAACAGTGGGAGATCGAACTTGAAAGCGTGATATCACGAGTCCACGACGCTGTAACTGCAGCTGCCCCGGTGCGTGCTGGGAGCCTGCGTGCAGTGATGTGATTGTGTGCTGCGATATGCGCCTGGTCGACAGTACGATTGTGACGGTGTCTGGTCTGTGCCGTACGTACGGTAAAGGGGCGACTCGTCCGCAGGCTGGACAACCTGCGCAAGATCCGGGACCTGTGCGACATCGCCGGCTTCCAGCAGCGCTACATGACCATGCTGCACAGTGAACTGCAGAGGATGTACAGCAAGACGTTCCCCATGCTGCACGCCATCAACTGAACTGGATCATCCTTCGTCTTGCAGACGTGTGTCACGTGTGCAGAACATTTAAAGTTGCATTATCTTTCTGTCTTTGTTTGCATTCTGCTTGATGTTATGTGGGCGTTTTTAATCATGATTCAATCAGTAACAGGCGTTGTACTTCCCGTGGCTTGTCGACAGGTCAGTGGCATGTGTGTTTGTAAAGTGTCCAAATTGTATAGCCTTAAAGGATGATATAGAGACAAAGATATCGACAGTCTGATATTGTTCGTAGATCATTCATGTAGCGAATGTGTAAGCATGTTTTTATTTGGATGTGTTAGATAATGACGCAACGCGCCATGCTGCTCCAAAATTACCGTCTTTAGTGGGGTGCATGTGCTGATCAAATAAATTACTGGAGACTTCCTGAGCGTTGACACGCAGCCGTGTGCGTCTGCGGGTACCCTGCGTCAGCTGGTGGATGAGTGGAAACAGATGGGATTGGACCCAGGACCGGGACACCGGGAAAATGGACCCAGGACCGGAACACCGGGCCGCCGATCCTCAAAGCTTGTGGTGTGCTGGTCTCATCCACTGACCCAGCAGTGCAGTGCTTGTGACAGGGCTGCCCTGCCTGCCAGTCTCAGCGGGATCTGATAGAGGTGGTCGGTAGCAGGGGACGCTCAAATCTCCGGCAACTGTTGGAGCTGGAGGGTGGGAACCGAGTGTTCACGAGGAGTGGTTGTTGAGTGTGAACCATTAATCACAGAGACTGGAGGTGGTCAGGCGCTGGTAGTCAGTGGGACAGACATTGTCAGTGGCCGCTCTCGCCTGGCGTGTGAAAGCGCACGCTGATAGGTGGATTCATCATATTTCAGTTACAGGGTGCGCGGCTCATGGCCACCACCCATCGGTTAGAACCGAAATAGCTGGGAAGAGACGACGGTATAAACACGATGCTCCCGTTGGAAACCGGCGGGCGGACGAATGCCACCGCTCTGCTTCACCGCACGCACCTATAGAGGGCAGCACAGGATCAGTGAAGGATTGGAGCACTGGTGGACTGTGTCCACAACCCCGATCAGGATGGCTAGACCACTTACAATATCGTTAGCCTAACTGCAGAGGGCTCTCATACCGGTGTTACAGGCTATCATGCATCATTTTACGATTGCTCACGCCTGCTTTCTGTAACTAATGCTCGCAGCCCGGGCGTCCAGTTGGTCGTCACTGTCGACTATAAGGCTTGCACTGCTCTGCATGACCCAGTCAGTGCTGGATCACTGTCATCAGCTGTTTACACCGCGTACTTAATGGCCGTGAGGTGAGGGGACAGTTAGGATGCGTGTGGTGTCAGTGGAAAGTCCTTGGCCGCTCAGTAAGCTCCTGTGCTCTGCAGTCGGTCAGGTCAGGTTGGCTGATGGTGGGCATGCCTTGACGTCCGTGTCTGTCCCATCTGTCGCTGCACACTGCCTTAACGTATGTGCCCGTCCCATCTGCCGCTACGCACTGCCCTGACGTTTGCATATCTTCCATCTGCCGCTGCACGCTGCCCTAACGTCTGTGCCGTCCGATCTGCCGCTGCACACTGACATTACGTCTGTGTCCGTCACATCTGCCGATGCACACTGCCCTTACGTCCGTATCCGTCCCCTCTGCCGCTGCACACTGCCCTGACGTCTGCATACCTTTCATCTGCCGCTGCACACCGCATTAACGTCTGTGTCTGTCCCATCTGCCGCTGCACACTGGTCTGACGTCCGTGTTTGTCCCATCAGCCGCTGCACACTGCCCTAACGTCTGTGCCCGTCACATCTGTCGCTGCACACTGCCCTAACATCTGTGCCCGTCCCATCTGCCACTGCACACTGCCCTGACGTCTGCATATCTTCCATTTGCCGCTGCACACTGCCCTAACGTCTGCATATCTTCCATCTGCCGCTGCACACTGCATTAACGTATGTGCCCATCCGATCTGCCGCTGCACACTGCCCTAACGCCTGTTCCCGTCCCATCTGCCGCTACACAATGCCGTGGGTTACCGCAGCTCGTACACGGTTTTGTTCAGCATCTGTTTTTATTGTTGGCCGACTTTCGCAGCGTGGAATAGTCATTAAAAGTAAGTTATGTGTTTGTTTACTTCTGTATTGGTTGAGCAAATAACGAGTGCCGAGGTCAAACAACCGCGCGAGGAACAATCACGCCGAGATACCTGCGCTGAGCCACAGTACACAATTGATAACTCTGAAATGCTACACCAGTAAATCCTCTCTAAAGCGACATTAAGACCAGAAGGAAGACGGGCTCTGGCAGCACCACGTCTCTGGTACGATTGCTATTCGACTAATCGACATACATATGACCTGAGAATCGCACTCGCACGCCACAGTTTGTGACGCCTAGCTTTACCAGCGGCGGCCTTGCCCCCCTCAATGTCCGCAGCCCGCACGTCACGGCCTCAAACTAAGCGCCAGGGTCTGCGAGTGGCTGAGACCCATCGGCGACGGCCGCTCTGCGCTCTCTTGCGCCTCTCTCTCTCTCTCTCCTCTCTCCTCTCACTCTCCTCTCTCTCTCTCTCTCTCTTCTCTCTCTCTCTCTCTCTCTCTCTCTCTCTCTCTCTATCTCTCTCTCTCTCTCTCCTCTCCTCTCTCTCTCTCTCTCTCTCTCTCTCCCTCTCTCTCTCTCTCTCTCTCTCTCTCTCTCTCTCCCTCTCTCTCTCTCTCTCTCTCTCTCCTCTCTCTCCTCTCTCTCTCTCTCTCTCTCTCTCTCTCTCTCTCTCTCGCTCTCTTCTTCTTACCTCTGCCTCTCACAACACACCCTCTCTCCCGATGTTGGTCGCTGTGCGTTGCCGCCCGGTCAGCAGGCGACCGGCGTCGGCCCGGCGCTAGCGCGAACAGCGGTGGGTAGGCCCGACAGTCGCCAGCCATTGCGCCCTCCGCCAACCGCCTTCAGCTTCGCCATTAGGTCCCCCTCGTCCTCCGAGCTGTCCGAGAACCAGGCCACGCCCGCGCTGGGGGCACAAGATTGGGTCAGATTCAGACCAGGGCTGACCCAGGCCACGTCCACGCTGGGGGTACGAGATGGGGCCAGACACAGACCAGGGCTGACCCAGATCAGCGTCACGTTGGGCACTACGCGGTGGCCATGCACACTAAAACCAGAGTAGTCCATGCCGACATACTATTTCAACATTATGCCGGAACGGACCGCCATTTTATACACCATTCATTCTTCACTGAGGACAGCTAGCCAGCATCAAGTAGCGTCGGCCTTCAGCGTGTCGTCGCGGAAGATGCGGTGGCGTGCGCTGCTGCCGGGGCCTTGTGTCCCTGCTCACCCCAACATTGACTGGAGCGGCTGCCAGCTGGACGACTGCCCCATACGACAGAGTTGCCAGCGGAGGCAGCCATCCTGCTGAGGATACAGGGCGGCCTCCACCCGTCCGGACGATTGTCCAGGATGCCACCGTCAGCCGGGTCTGCCGGATGGCCGGCCAGGCTGCGCCCAAGCAGCTCCTGCCAGCCGAACACCGTCCTGGTGCACGGTTAGGGGCACAGGTCAGGTCAACACCTTCTGTTACTGGCTCAGGACGGGCCCGTCACCCTCGGCCGTGGGAGCATAACGGGTCAGCCATCCTCTGCCAAGAGGCAGGACAAGGAGGCACTACGAAAGGGCCATACAGCAAGGTCATCTATGGCTACGTGGACGTGATCTATGGAAGACATGCATGTTTGTTAAATGCAGCGTCTGAAGCGGCTATAATGCCCGTCGATCCACACCCAGCCAGATTATTGCATGCCATCATAGAACGGCCCACTTGCAGAACTGCAAAGTACATATGATGTTAAGTTTTAGTAGTAAGTTTAGTACAAGTACATAAGTTTTAGTTGGAAATAGCGCGGAGTTTGTTAGGAGCTATTAGATATTTCCATGCACGCTCATCAGTCGAGTAAGTGTCAATGTCATCCAACAATGACCGCGACAAAGGTCAGTCAAAGGAAAGGGACTCTCATCTCCGCATGGCGCGCATGCTACTTACGCTTGATACGGCATTGAGGGTCGAAATGGCGATATAGCCAAAGAGGAGGGCCACGCCAATAAGGATGCCAATGAACTGTAGCACCGTGTCGAGGGACAGAAAGCGAGGTAGTGAGGGCTCAGGGCGGGGGCGTCTTCTAACGCCGCTTGTACTGGCCCGCCGCTGAGTTCTCTGGAACAATCTGCAGATGAGCCAGAGCCTGTTACAGACATTCCCTGCATGGACGTATGAGGAGACGGCAGACAGTAGCCACCTCACGAACTGGACACGGGGGGGAGGGGGGGGGGGGGCAGGGAGAAGGAGGGCGTAGGCTCGCTTCGAAAAGATCGCAGGTCACTTTTTAAAAGTTTGACAGGACAAAATAAATCAATTTAACTTGAATGAGCTTCCTTGGAATGTGAGTGGCCATGGTCTCTTTCCGCTTCCCTCCGGATTGGAGCTCAGATATTTTCATGGAGGGAAACCATAAACGTTACCCACCTTATTTTCCAGACACCCTTCCGTGAATTTCAGCCACTAGCCCGCTGACATATTCTGAATCACGTGATCATACCTGCGTTTGCACTTTGTCTGGATGCGTCTCACACAAGACACGCCCACCTTTGACTCTGGGCGGTGTTACTCGGAGTGCCCTTGAACTGTGTGCAATAGTTCGGAGGTGCGACAGCTTGCAAAACAGCGGATGGGCGTTTGTTTCTTAGTGACGTTTCTTCAGGGACGCATCGCAGCTTCCAAAAATATGGTCCATAACGATTTTGTCCTCTAGTTTTGGGTCAAAAACGTTTCATTTTTGGAGAAAAAGATGCTACTATTTGACTGCAGCACCTCAATGTCCTGGGCACTGCATGTGCCTACAAAAAGCCGCCCCAGGAAGCTGCGGAAGGGCAGCTACTTTGAGAAGCTGTTGGGTTCATCTAGAAGTGCCAGCCACTGGGGCTGAAGAAAGCACTTCACTGAGTGGTGTGATGGGAAATGCTCTAAGACTTCGAAATTTGGAATGGCTCGTCCTGCTTGATATCAAACAACGCTGGGCAGGACAGGGTGGATCCGGAGATAGGGACTGGTTGCGATGCATCTCTCCCTCCCTCCCCGCCTGGGCCACTCATGGGGTTTAGGTAAAATGTCCATGGTGAAGAGACACCATTAATGCATTCATTCCGGAACCATATAGCTTTCTATTTTTGATAGACACAAAATTAAAGGAGCGCCACAAAGGGTGCCAAATCTTATTTTTGAGGCAATGAATTATTTCAAGGGGCACCACAATATTCGCGGCCGTGCCGATTTGGCGAAGTCCTGGAACGTCCCATTTAGCAAAGAAGCATTGCAACCATCATTTCGGGACACCACGGCCCTTTATTTTCAGGAGGTACTCAACTCCAGAGA